CAAGGGGTCACTGACGAGGATCCCTTAGAGTAGCTTCAATACAATATATATGTCACCAGAAACTTATAAGGGGTTGAATTGTGATTATTCATTTTTTCTTAGTACGTAACATATTAGGAAACCCTCGCTGCGGCCTCAAAAATTACATATCTTTGCCGACACTGTACGAGTACGACATGAAATTGCCCTTTTGTGGAGGGCGAAAATACAGTACAGCGACTTTCTTTATCTTTTCCTGAACTCCTCTTTAGACGACCTGAACGAGATGGAATAAGCGCGATAAACTTTGAAGCAGCGCAGATAAACTTTTTACGTACGTTTTGGTAGCTGTCGCCATCGTTGTTCCTTGAGCTACCTCAGGTTTCCTCCTGAAGACGTGGAGTAAAATTACGTCACTTTCTTTACGAAGTTTGATTGGCCTGTTACCTTTTCTTTTCTTCCCAAATATGGTACTTGCGAAAATGAAAATTCACGAGCAAAGCAAACATATGAGAGTTACACGTTTTAACCCCTTATAAGTTTCTGATGTCACTTAGTCAATGCACTAACCTCGCCATTCAACCTTAGGCCTCCTCCCCGGGTTTCCTTAGAAAATGGGAGGGCTCTCCGCCCTCCCGTCCCTCTCGTTCGTAGGAAAATGCCCTGGGGACGGAGTTTGTATCTATTATTGTCCTATTGGCGGATCTACGGGAGGTTCCCATGCCCCCTCCTAATTTGGGGCCAAACTGAAGCCCGCAGGGTGGAGAAAAATTATTTTGGGGCCTGATCCCAATCTTTTCTTAGCTCCTGCATGGACGGAATCCCACTTTTCTGACTGAGTCTAATCAGGGGTATGGGCTCCTGGGGCCCGTTTCTCGAAAGTCCCGGTAACTTTACGGGCCCGAAATCAAAAATTCAAATCGAAATATAAAGAATAAGAGCGCGGGTCCTGGCTAGCAAACTACCCCATTTAGTTTCATTAACTGACAGTTTTATCATGTTAGATGCAAAACTATTGAAACCTCGATCTTTAATGTAAACGGAGACAGCTTACCGGGCCCGTTAATTATCGGGACTTTCGAGAAACGGGCCCCTGATCCAAATCAAAAATGTTTAATGAATAGCTGATATCATTTAGTAAGCGGTCTCTTAAGGTTTTTTATGTTTTGGGGTTAGCTTGCTAGGAAGGTTGAATGGGGAGAAGTCAGCTTAGTCCCTAGGCGTTCTCTCTTGCCCCGTTGTCCGCGCGAAGCCTGGGAAAGAGCGGGCGGTTCTTGGCGAGTATCTCTCGGTGACGTCACAGCTCACCGTAGAGTCCAGGATTGACCAAGCCGAGTACGCCTAGGGACTAGGCTTAGGACTAGGCTGAGTAGGAGTAACACTCGAGGCTCTTTAGCAGTCAGAACCGCGAAAAGCGTTATCTGCCCTCTTCTCAAGACCAACGCTCCAACTTCTCGAGTTTATCTCGCCAAGGATGCACTTCATTCTCATCAGCTGTGTTCCAAGAGCCTTGAGTCTTAGATTCCCCAAACTCTGCTTCTTTTAAGGCCATCACGCGTAAACGTAGGCATTCTAGAAATTCGAACTTAAGAATCGCTCAGTTGGCTTTTATTTGGATAGCGGATCAGTTTACATTTGTATACACTGTGTATATTCGAGAGGCCGGGGCTTTCGATAAATAGACTGCATTCAGTACGGTTTTTCATCCACTTGTTCACACATAAATCGAGGCAAATTTAAATTGCCCATTTGCAGTTTCCATCATTATGACCACTCTGAGGTGATAGTTCGTTTTCTCATTCACACAGGCTAGGCCTTCAAGAAACTTCCAGAAACCGTATCGCATTTCTTGCGTTTCATTTTAGGGTTTCCATACGGTGTTTTTAAATTTTAGGGCTGGTCTTCATTTCCAGTTGATTGCTTTTTAAAATGTGCTATTTAGTTTCATCGAGCCTGGAGACAAAACACTCCTAAAACTTCAAGCATTTCCGACGATGAGGCTATGAATCGCTCAAATGCATAAAATTGAGACAAACTTGGGCACACAGACACCAACCCACGGCCTGGCCAGTACCTCACGCATGAGCACAGCCATATCACCCGAGCAGTGGTGGCCATGGACAGCTGTTTCGCCCTTATTGTGGCTCATCAGCGTGGCATTGAGGTCATTTTTTTTAGTGTCAAATTAGTGCCGGCAAATTTGTCAAGTAAGTCAAAACTCACAAATTGTTCTTTAAGCAAGGTGGTTTTTATTAAAGAGGCTAACATAGGATTAAACTTGAAAAGGTTGGCCTAGTTTTTTCAAGTTGCAAGCCATTTTCTCGCCATCGGACTGCCAAAGATATAAGGTAAACACTATTTCTGGATTTTCATAAAGTTCTAAAGTGCTCTTATGGTTTTATATACTTATTTACTGGATAGTGAACATATCTGATACTTTGGGGAGTGGCACACAAGAAATACTAAAATATAAAATACCCTGCATCTGTCCATAATTGCCCAATCAGCCATGATGGATGTGGAATTAATTTTTTTCGATATGAATTATTACAGGCCAAAGAGCAAACATATCTCTTCGCCTTTCAGGTCCTAATCAAGAACCGACATCATTTCTCTTATTACAATTTGTTTACGCGATCTCCTCTGTAAAAAAAACGACCAAATGAAGGAAAACGAAATTGGACAAAAAGAACAAGAAGAAAAAGAAGAGAATAAAGAAAACCCAAGATCTTGACAAATTTGGTTGTTTAAATAATGTTTTTTCACTATAATTGTTATTTATGGCCTCCCGACTGTTAGCTACTGTTTAAAACCTGTCGTTTTATGTAGCATTATGAAGGTTTCTATTTTGACTGGTGACTGTATTTTGGTTCCTATACATGCTTTTTTTTTTCAATTTGGCACAGGTTTTCTTTTCTTTTTTGACAGGTTAAGCGTCCTCTTTTCTTGTAGTTAAACCTACCTTCCAATCAGGCTCCTGCCTCCAATCTCATTTTTTTTTTTGGACACGTGTCACGTGCATGAACGAGCGCACGTCGCCAGCTGCCTCGGTTCCCGCCAAATTTACTTTTGTGTAAACAAAATTAAGTTTGTCAACTCCGTCTGGTAGACTTTGTCTTTTGTTTGCTCCGTAATATTTTACAGTCTCAAAGGTGAAATGATACTGTGATACAATGGAATTCAACAGGAAAACACAACAATCTATCACGTTCTTTCCCACTTGATCTACCGCGACGTGCATTGTTTTTTCTTGACAAAATATTGGTATGAATGTAACCAATTTATGTGTACTTAATAGTGTTCTGTTTTGAATCAAATTTATTTTCATTTGCATGGAAAGGTTTAGAGACTAGCCTTTTTAAAATAAATGGTCTATGCCCAGAAAGGGAGAAAGCATCAATGTGACAGCTTGATAGAAAAACGACACGGCAATATTAAATAACGTTGTTTTCGTTTATACTCAAACGATGTGTCAAACTTTAATATATATATGTCTTACACTTAGGTACGCGTTTTTTATCTCTTTTTACGGGTCACCTGGCGTGTACATGATGTTTGAACCGTGTCATTATTCAATGGCTAACTACTTTTTTCGTGATTTTTGCCGCTAAATTTGCCACTTTACTGATGATCTAGAAATTCACAACATCGAAAAACATTTCTTTTAAAATGTAACTGACAAGAAGCTAGACAAATGACGGAAGCGTGCCTCTCTCGGAAATGGCTTTTAAAAGGAAACCCATTTTTAACCCCGACGCTTGTGGGCTCAGTTATCTCAATCTCAGAGTATTAGTTTGAAATCCATCTACGAAAACACTCCCCTAATAATATTGGAAATTTTGCGTTTAGCGAAAAACGGGAAAGATAAGAAAGGACATCAAAAAAGAAATTCGGTCATATTATTTTTAGAAAACAGACCATGGAGCAATATAAAAAGTAACGAATGAATTATAAAATGCAACACGAGGAGTATATACACACCGTGCCAAAATTCATTTACAAGAGAGAAAATACCACCTGCTGCAAGAAAACAACAACATTAACGTTGATGGATTTCATTCGAATTGTTGTAAAATTGAAAAATTGAGGAAAAAAATGGGCGGAAATGTAAATTTTCGTGGTGCAGTGAGATCGTAAAAATTGGCCCCCTGTGACGATTTATCTTATCGCGCCACTGTGCCCTACGGTGGTTGGTTATTTAGGGACAATTTTTGTTCATTCAACCAACTGGCGAAGTACAATGCTAGACTGCTGTCATAATGTTGAATTTCATAAACGCGTTTTATTCTATCCTGCTGTGGGTTAATATTTCTTTTCCCACAAATGGCCGTGGAAGCGTCCAAACGAAGGCCCGTGCCACGTCAATGGCAAAAATATTTAAACAACAGGAAAATGAATTGTTAAAAACTGCCAAGACTCGATAGTGGTCCTTGACTAAAGACTTTTTTGAGAACTTTGCTTTCCACTGAAATGCAAAGCGATTTCCTTGTGGTCGCTATTGTAATAAGAACAATAGATTCACAATAGCTGAAGTCAAGAACATTGTTTTTTCGAATATAACCTTGAATGGGAGACAGTCCTGTAGGTTTGTTCATAGACCGTCGGGGAATGTGGAAAAATAGTTTTTTAACTCTGTTAAAATCGCTGACGGAAAGATATCAATGGGCAAAATAACCAAAACAGGAAAAATTTGAGATTGAAATCATGTCCCTCAAGCGAATGAAAGTTCCAAGTATAACTGCACATGTAAATTTCCCTTGTGACGTTTTACGTAACGAGTTCCCTAGCGGACCAATCAGCGAGGGGCCTATTGTGCTAGCTTGAGTCTTCTGCACGATTTTTGTACTCACGTACTTTGAGGGCGAGGGGAAATATGGCTGCCGTTTCAAGACGTGAGCTTGAATGAGCGCTGTTTAGTGAAATAATCAAACAAGAAGCGAGGCAATATCCTTGTGGACGAACTGGGTGCATTTGGAGACCTGCAAAGCGCTTGTAAATACCCGCAGAACGCGATTCGAACAAGGAGAAAAGAAAATTACCGTATAGAAGTGTGGTAATGGTTGCCCGCTGAATTTGATTGTTTTCGCAGACGAAATCATGAGTACAGCGAAGCGAAAGAAGCGAAGTTCGAGGTAAGCATGTTTGTATTTTACTTTCGGGTTTTGTTCGAGGTTATAAGGTGCTAGGAAATAGAGTTATAGTAAACGTGCGGAGGGAATCCCAAATGACCCGGAGTGTTACGTTCAACGTGTCTGCCTTTGAAATCTCGATCAGCAAAAAACCACTTATAATTCGATTCTTTTCAATTACGCTGCCACACTGATAAATCCTTTGAGAAGAAATTTCGTTTTGTTTTTCATCATTTGAACGTTGTATAAATCTAGAGCGGATTTTACAATCTTGCAGTCGCAATGGAAATGTGAGCAAGCTTACATGTATACCCTAGCCTTTTCCGGTGTATGTTTCCGAATGCCTGCCTTTCAAAAATGTTCGGATTTTCGCTCCCCGCGAAGAACACAACTTTAGCTCTTCTCAGCAATGATATAAACAAACCCACCAACTGGCAAGTACGTAAATTTCGCCGCAATCCTGTCGGCGATTGAAAATAACCTGCCAGTTGAATTTGCATTCAATTCGTCAAATGACATTGTATTACTACAGACGCCGATGATGCCCGCAACTTTGACAACCTTCGAGTTCGTTTCTATTGTAACAACTTAGGTTGGTTTGCTTTGAAATGCGGTCTTCCAAGGCAAAAACAGTTAGAGGGTGTTCATTTTGTGCTTGAATTGCCCGCTAGTGAGGACGTTTGTCTCGTCGATTTTAGTTTAATATATCTGATGTTCTGTGGCGCGGCATATTAAGTTGTGTATTTCTAGAGATGTGACCTTTGACAGGACAACATACTTTTACTTCAGCAAAAGCGATAGAAATAAATGTTGTGGTGAAATGAACGATTTTAATATTTACTAGACAGCCGAAAAATGAAAGAACAGTTTTCGTGCGCGATGTGAAAGCGGTCCTCTACAAAGAAACGCGCGAAAGCAAACTTTTTCTTGGACGGAAACACAAAGAATCGCTCCGCCAGAAATTTACCGCTCGATTACGGCGTAAGTCTACTTACTTTTTCTCAAATCAGTATTTTTTTAAGGTCGTGGTAGTAATTTATTCAAACAAGGTCTCCTTCTGTGGCAAACTAAAGCTTTTGTTTGAAGCAGGCAGACCCGCCATGTTTGTCTTTGCGAGATCGAGGTGATGGTCAAAATTTTTCTCCCGATGCACGGAATCAATTTCTCGCGATCTACTGGTCGAAATGACATATTTCTTTTTTCTCCAGATTCTTTGAAGCTTCCAGAAGCGTTTTGTAACGTTTTAGTGGTTAATTTCGTTTTATTTTACGTGCATCGAGCTCCTATAACTTTGTCCTCTATGACCATAATAATTTGCGACGGAGAAAAACAATTCTCAGGACGATCTATATTATTCCAAGCATTTTGTTGCGGTTCTCAACAAGCCGTGCTTGACAATTGAGAACTACTCAAATTTTGTATCTGAAAAGATCGATTTAAGAACGGGATTTCTATGGATAGGGGGTCTCCGAAACCTTTACAACGCTTAACGCGCAAAACATTGTACATTTTTCGAATGTTTTTATCAATTTACATATTCAGCTGGCTTGTCGAATAATTCTTTCCATTTTCTTTTTCATGGGTGATACACATGTCCTTTATCTCTGGTGAGCGTCCCTCGATTCTTATGCAAATTTTCCATGAAAGTCTTACATTCTAAGGTTCAAGAGGCTGGAAAAGCAGATTCCGTGAGTCGAGGTGTGAAATCGACATCGCTTTTGGAAGTTCTGTCACGGCGAAATTTTCAACCCGGCTCGGGTAGATCGTAGCCTTGTTACGGCTACCTAGTGTGCTTCACGCCTTAAATGCTCTTTCCACTTTTAAAAAATAAACATCTTTTGTTAGTGGCATCGCTAAGAAACACTATGCACTTTCCCGTGTTTATGAATTTCTTGTGTCGTAGAAAAAAAAAAAAGAGAGATTGCGGTCTAATTTTTGCCCTTCAAGGTCAGCCCTAAGAATCGTAGTAGTATCTAGATGGCATTTTGAAGTGTAACTCCACCAGGTTCTTGTCTCCTTTCCTGGTTTTGGGAATTGTAAACCGGGAAACCGTTAGACATGACAAGCTTCAAGTGCCTTTAATTAAAGAAGCGGACACACAATTTACATACACAGGATTTAAGCAATTTTTTTTTTCGAAGTCGAATGTCCGATGTTTTTCTTGTGATTTCTTTTAAGAATGCATAGCTGAGTGAAATGTTTTGAGAACTGAACGTTATGTACATTACAGTATTTGATATATCAGTAATTTGTGACATGATAAAATAAAAATCCTTGTGATGACAGCCCCTCAAAAGAGTTGGCAGAAAGAATGTTAATAATGTATTGATAGGTTAAAGGGTTTGCTTTGCGAGCCAAAAACTAATTGATTTTCCGAGTGTTTTTTGTGGTATCTTTATGCCCAATCACGTCCTGTTCAACCTCAGTAGCACTGTGCAACTGCTGCCAAATGTGATTTCAGTTGAAATTGTCTATTGTGGCTGTACATTCACAGAAGAAAAGAGAAAACATTCTGTGTCAAGTTAGTTTGAATAATCAGCTAATGAGCTTAAGATGTCCAATCGGTTGTGCCTCCAATGATGTCTGGACAGGAGTTTTTTATTATTATTTTCCATAAGTAGGATTACCACAGATTTCTTGTCACTCCAGTTGTACGTTAGGCCTAAGGCCTTATTCCTTGACTGGTATTAAATGACCACAGTTTGACTTCTCCTTGTTTCTACACAGTTTCATTTTTTGAGATAACATTTTTTTATCAGTTGAATATCATATGATAAGCTCATTGCATTGTCCTATCACAAGAATGACAATGACCTAGAGGGGAAAGTATGCCAAAACTCCATAAGGCCTTCTCAATTGTTAACTGCCTCCTTCTCAAGGTTTTTTAGATTACTTAGTCTTGTTAACAGTGGATGAACGTTATTCATTTTTTTGCATTGTGTCATTTTGTTGCTTTCCCTTTTGTATCACCAATTTTGCCTGCCTAATTTCACTCAAATGAGCTGTTACTATGCTGATATAACATTGTATAACTGTGACAAAGAACGTCTTTGCCTTAGGCAACTACTTTCTCGCTTTTATGGCAAATTAATATGTCTTGAACTTGACATTAAATACATTGTCTATAGGGATTGATGTTTAACCCCTGCAGCGCATTTTTCGAAAACCCAGGATAATTACCGGGTCCAGAAAGATGTTTTATGTTTCCTGTGATTACCTTCAAGATCAAAGTTCTTTTAGTTTTGAAAGTAATACAGCAAGCCATTAGTCATTCAAACAAAATTAAAAAAGTGAATACTTTGTCGGCTAAGACTGACACTATTACGGTATTATGTAATTTATAGATTTGGGTCTGGAAAGTTACGAAGACTTTTGAGAAACAGGAGCTCAATGAGTTTTTTTCCTTTCTCATTGATCAAGTTTATTTTGCAATCTGTAGATTCTGTTGCCTAAGAACATATGTTACAAATGTGAATAGCTACTCTCTCAGTGGAATGGTCATTATTTAGGTTCATTTTCTCTACCCAAACCAGGCTTTTCATTAAGACTTCTAGTAGCAGGAGAAAGGTGTAACGTTACGGGAGAATATTCTGATTCAGGCTCCACATCTGAAAAAAAAATAGTCATAGGCTACTCAGTGTTAGCCGGAGAAATCTGCGTAGTAAACAGAGAATTCTCTGATCTCCAATGGCTGATGAACACCATGTATAGTGCATTCAAGACTACTCCTGTTCATTGTCTTTTGGAATTTTTTTTTTTCTTGGAACATCACAGACTGAGTTACTGAATAATGACAGTGCATGGTCAAAAATGTCTGGAGTGAATTTCAGAAATTTTTCTTTAAAAGTTACAATAAAATATTTGGCTTTTGTACTGTACACGAAGTTCTCGTCTCCACAGAAAGAGGGGTAGCCTTTTTACTACATGTACCTCCCCTTCCCCAAACATAAAAATGTGATGTTTGTAGAAAATATAGGATAGTACTTAATAAAAGGCACCCGTACAATTTGTCTGGCATTGTAAGCTTCATACAGACAAAGTATTTTGGTGTTTACTTGTTTAGCTAGACATTATTTTATAGTGTATGTCTATGAGTTTTATTACCCACATTCTGTGACTGGACAATGAGTAGGCCATATGTTTTACCCCACTACTTGCTTGCACTCTGTCTTTCTCCACAGACAACCCATAGATATAATAAATGTTTCGTCAGTCTAATTTTTTCTTAGATTTATGGTGCATAGATTCGTGTTTTGGCCTTAAATCCTCTGGTTTTTACATGAGAGCTGGCCAATACATTTATATTATTTAAATACGTCTAAAGGGCAGCATGCATGATGTTACTTGGGGTGTTTTTAATTATTTCTATAGCTCCTGATTGTTTTACAAGTGGTGCAATATAATTTATATTATTTTAAATTAAATATTTATTTTTTGACAGCCTCAAGGGTTCCCTTAATCCTTCCAAACGTCATCGTGACCGCTTCAACATTGAGTTGGATAACCTTGCAAAACTGCTTCCTTTCCCACATGATGTGATCCAGAAATTGGACAAACTCTCCATTCTCAGGCTGTCTGCCAGTTATCTCAGAGCAAAGAATTTCTTTAAAGGTATGCCACACTGATTATTGATTTTTCACTATCATTTTTACTATAAATTAGAAAAAATCATCAACTTAAGAATAAAGAGAACAAAAAAATGACCATCACCACCACATACAGTAAACCGTTGTTCCCCCCGGCTGCTATGAGAGTGATCCCCAGTAATAGTGACCAACAACAATTTTCTCCTAACAATATCCATACATTGTCATGAGATGAGGTTATGAGAATTAATAATATGATCACCTAAGAGAAAATACTTTGATCTTTTATCAAATTCCTTTGACTAGTTCTTAGGAAAATGTATAGAGATCAGTTTGGAGAATTTGTAAGTGGATATTGGGGCTTAAAGGGTTAAAAGAAAATGGAACCAAAGTGACTTCCTAGCTGTTCAACTCCCCTCCTACTAATTACATACACCTGGCAACGTGAAGTTTTAGTGACAGTTCCGCTTGCCTCTTTAGAGGCCCTCTTAAGGTTGGTACACATATCCCTAGTCTAAATTCCAAAACATGTAGTTTCACGAATTGAGGAGGAAGTAATGTGCTGTCACAGTTTCAGCCATCTTTGTGTCATTTGTCACTGTTTCGTTTGCCTTATGTCAATGTTTCAAGACCATGTCACTCGTCAAAATTTTACCCCAACCAAGCCTCTTTATGTTGACAATTAAATCTTAGTTTTTACAGAGGACTTGATTGCTGGACACTCTTGGGTTCAAAGCTTTTAGGTTTCTCACAGGTTTTTTAGGAGCACAGCTTAGTGGGTAACTCTCTATTATAGAGAGATTCACTTGTTCAAAGAGCTACCAAAAGTGCGGTCTTACCCATTAAGACAGGCACTCTGTCATCTTATTTTGAGGATTTTTTTTAAACTTCCAAAATTGCTTTGAAATTGAAGGAAAAGGTAAAATATGGATCTACTAAAACAGAAAAAAAAATATTGAAGGTAGGAAGCTCCATTGACTGTAGAGTGAGAACTAGAGCCATGTACGTGATACAATGTTGACATTTAATATCTGGGAGGAAACCATTCATAAACTCCAGGTTTCTTTATTACATGGTTAGAAAATAATATAAAAAACAACAGTCCAGCCTGATGCCTATTTCTGTACAGGAAATAATACTTCCGGACAAACTCTTTATACTTGGTGAAATACATTACTGAAAAGCCATTTGAAAGGGCACGTTAAGAGATTTTTTAAATCTCTTTAGAAACGTAGAGATTGCATGTCATTTGGGACCAAAGCAACTGTCTGCACTTACAACTACCTTGTAAAATATATACAGTCACTTCAAGTGACTCATTTTTGTGGAACCTGCATGTAATATCATGAATTTTACAGTTTAAAAAAATTGTTGCAGAAATTAAGCCCCCCTCAAGAGAATCCATTTGAAATAATTCACCCCTCCCAGTCATTTGTTGTACACTGTTGAGACATTATGATACTCTATTGCGCTCTTCTTTGTAAGCATAAGGCTGTGTGTTTATGCTAAAGAACGTGTTTACATGTAGAGTCATTTTGAATTTAAGTCTTTTGAGATCTGTCTGTTTTTTCATGTATTTTTTTTGTCTGAAATTAAATGCCATGAGAGAAAAGGTAGTAATGTTGAAGGTAACATTGTATGCAATGCAAAACTGTCATTTTGTAATTTTTTCCTTTTGGAAGATTCATTTCTGTAGTTAGCTTTTTCTCCACAACACAAGGGTCTCAACTGGGTCAAATATCTCCTTAATTGACTTGTAGAATAAAAGGACTTTAAACCTTGGCTCACTTTCATGTTTGAAAAACAATATCATCCTTAATCAAAAAATTGTAACATGGAAAGCATTATATTTTATATCGTATTATTGGCCACTCTGGATATTCATTTTTCAATTATCCCTTAAAGACTTAATCAAGATCAAACACAGCAACTTTATTACAGCTTGTCATTTCAAAAAATATAAAAGTTTATTTTCTTTTGTTTCGATCTACTTATCTACAACCTTGAAAACATTCCAATAACATTTGCCTGTTGTACTTGTAATTGCTCTGATATTGGGATTTTCAAGTCAACCACCATGCTATCATGCTGTAAACATGTACACAGACAGAAACCTGTATTCCTCAGATGTTAATTCTTATAAATTTATTTTCCATCGTAGGTCAACAATGGACAGAAGACAACCAAGTTGGAAAAGTTGTAGATGGGAATGCAGATTTTGAGGGCAATGGAGTGTTTTCTAAACTTCTTTTAGATGTGAGTGTTGTTTACTTGTATTGATATTATACTTGAGTTAACTTTCCTTCCCGTGCAAATGATCATTTTTCAATCATTCCACTTGAGTGCCTGGTGGTTGTGATCTCCATTCCTGAGATTTTGTTTTAAAAAAAGCTTACATCTGATGTCTGTTTGTCTCGCAATATTGAATTAGTTTTCAAAGTAATTGTGGTGTCCGTGATTGCCTTGATTTATTGTGTTTAGAATGTGCATAACAATACAATATTTCATTTCTTGTTTAAAGAATATAATATAGTTAAATCAAACGACAAAATATAATTTATTATTCAAAACTCATTAAACTCAGTTTTGTTTATTTCCATCTGTCTTGGCTTTAATTTTAACACTGTAAAAGTAGCACTTTTATTTAGAAAATAGTTTCAAGTATTTCTTGTTCAACATCATCATTTGATTGCACGTTATAGATGTTTTTTATTTTTTTTTCAAAAACCTTTTTATTTCAAACTTAAACCCTAAGATATAGGAGAAGTGCTCTGAATTAATTTCACTCCGTCTTAAGATGATGTAGTTAAATATTCGTTTAAGTATTTATTTTGTTGGCTTCATGTCTTGGAGCCAAATTAAATTCTATTTTTGTCCTGTCACTTTCTTAGGCTTTAGATGGCTTTGTCATCGTACTCACGAGGGATTTTGAGGTGTTTTATGCATCAGAAACTGTCCAAGATTACTTAGGACTTGCACAGGTAAATACTTATTGCAAACAATTTTTTTTTAATTTCAATGTACAGACCTTTCCTTCCTCGTCCCCCCACCCCCCAAAGAAAAGGTGTAAGACAAATAAAAAAAATGTAGCTGCTTATCTTAAAATTAGAGAACTTCCATGACATTGTATTGAGTCAGTGAGCACAAAATTGTCTTCAAATTGAAAGAAATGTTTAAATATTAGTTTTAATGGCTTAAAGTAGAAAAATGCAATTTAAAGAGGTATTCTTAGTCTATAAAGGATTAACAGAGTGTTAAGTTGGAAGAGATTAACAAGGATTAAGAAAGACAAATTCAAGTTTTCATAATTCAAAAACAGTGCTGTTCCAGGTCCTTTAAGCCATCCTTATCTGTCAGCTGTGGTTGTCTGTTTCCTGGGTGGCAAAGGCCCAAGATTATGTTATCAATAACATCTTACTAATAGTACATTTGCCAAATGAAGATGGATTTTCTAAAGATGCAATGATGAATATTGTTAGATCGCTTTCAGTATCACTTAATATGTGAGATTAATGTAGATTAATGGCTCATGTTGGCTGTTAATTGCCATTAACTTTTGGTTGGTTCCTATTTACGTTTTGTGTGAGTGCTTAGTTTTATATTATATCTTGAGATGTGGCTGATAACAGGCCCTGTTGAGGTAAAATTCAAACAATCAAAATGGCCTTTAAACCGCAACGTAAGATTACATGTAGATGAAATGGCAACAAATGACATAAAGATGGGTTACAAATATCGACAGGGGCAGGGCCTGCTCTTCAAAACATGGAACAACCATGTTTGAAATTCAGATTAGTGACATATGTAACCCCTTCCCCTCCCCCTATGAGGGCCTCTGATAGATGCAAGTTGATCCTGTTTTCTTAAGGTCTCGGTAAATGAAAATTTTAGTACATTGCTCGATTTTGTTTTTTTTGGATTTTTGGCATGAGTGGGTCCTAAATTTTATTTTGGCAGAAAAAGAAAATCAGAAAGTGCTTTTTAACCGTTCTAAAATGAGCCTTTTCTGCGCTAACCAGCCAAGCGTGGACCTCGCGCTAAATCTTTAGAGCTGATTTTCTCTCACTCTATTTTAGACGCAAAAATCAAAATTCTCCGACCTCCAGTCGGGACAGGTTTTAAGCTATCGCTTTGAAACTTTCAGATACGATGGATAATGATATAGACTCAAAAAGGGTGTGAGGAATTTTCCGATTTCCCTTTGTAACTCATTTTATGTCAGTTTCTTTGCGTAAATCGCGCTTGAGATTCGACTTTTTAGTTTGAAATGCAATAATTCCGCTAATACGAGACATATGCAAATTTCCTCACACCCTTTTTTAGGTCTTTTATCTGTCAATCAGACGCAATAAAAAGGAAGTGAATATTTAACAACGCGAAAGGGCTGGAGCTTCAGCAGTAAACTCGATACCTCTGAGTTCGAGAGCAAAAAACTTAAGCGCCTTTTGAAATTCGATAAAATAAAATCTTTTATAAGGTAATTTAGTCTTTTAGCTTTAATTTGATATATAACTTGCCTTTGTAGTGAAAATACTCGCGCGACTAGAATTTTTTTCTGTGGGCACCTCGTTTTCCTTTACCGAGACCTTAAGTTAGTGATTAAAATTCAAATGGTTGTTTACAAATTTCAGCTGTAGAATACATGTACATGTACTCTCTTTGTTATTATACCGCTGTGAAAAGTCAACAAAACAAACCTCTTGGTTAACAATCTTTTGTTATGGCTGTGTACTGTTGTTCTAGCAGGTTTTCAATCCTTGGGTGAAATTCTTAGGGTTTGTCCTGTGGTGCTGTTTATTGTGCTGCACTAGGTGGTTCTGACTTTTGACTCCATGGATAAATAAATGCCTGAAGCGTGATCATTTAAATGACCTCATAAAATACTTTCTTGTGGTGCTGTTTACCACACTTAACTTGCTTAGCTTTGGTTGACATGTAACAGTGCTACCAGTTAGTGCTTTACACTTTAAGTTCCCATAGTGACCAACAGAAATTTTCTCCTAACGATATCCATACATTGTCAAGAGTAAAGTCTATGAGAATTAACAAAATGATCACAAAGAATCTCAACTAAATTCTTTAAGGAAATGTATAGAGATCAGTGTGGAGAATTTGTATGTGGATATTGGGGCACTGAGGCTGAGAGGAATCAAGGAAAAGAAATAAATTTTTAATGAATCTCAATGCGATTCTTTTCTTTTAAACTCCTAAACCATGGAACCAAGTATCAGTTTAATAATATTCCAAAATGGCCTTTTGCACCATAGTTTTATTTTGAGATTTACAGGGTGATTCTAAGAATTATTGCATCTGAGGGCTCTAAAAAAATCTTGAATACAAGCTTGTCCATTGGCAAGCAGCTCTAAAATTTTGCTTGCCTGAGGCCACTTCTTGCTTGTCTTATAGTGAATGATTTTGTTAGAGGACAACTCACCTGGTTCTTGCCAATTGGGCAAGTAAGCTTTAAAAGTAACTTGCCCTAGGAAACTGCCCACTTACCCCTCCCCTAAACTAACACTAACACTTCCTTCTCACTTAGGGCAAAATGATGGCTTAGGGGAGGGGTAGGTGGGCAATTTCCCAGAAACATAAAGTGATCCAAAAAATCTACTATGTCGTGGACTACTGGACGGGACTATTCTCCAGCCCTGCATCTGCTAACTGTGGCTTTTTTAATGCTCTGAAAAGGTCAAATTAGTACCTTTTTTCTGAGATTAATAGGATTAATAAAAGGTCAAGGATTAGTAGCTTAAGATTAGTTTCTTCTAATCCACTTATATTAGTTATGGCTGGTGTTTTCCTGATCTGATTGTTCAGTGCGGAAGATCTGATATGCACAAGAGGAGGTTATTGCTGGATGTAGGGTGGCAATGTCTATAACCTCTTCTCTTTTATTTGAGTGTTTATACTTAACTCTTTGACTGCTCCTCCTAATAACAGTCAATGCAAGAACTTCACAAAAATTCCAAATTTTGTTTTGTAAAATCGTAAGACAAAAAAAGCACCATGTGCTACAGTTCTTCCAAAAAGGTTTCTTTTGAATGTTCACTTTGTAGGATTTTTTCTGTAGATTTAAAAGGTAGTGGTGACAAATTATCCTGCCATAACATGGGGTTCATTTGACGGTGGGTGTGAACGAGATAAGGGTCTAATCTGAAGGTTAAGGACCATGAGTGTATACCTTTAGATGCAACAGTAATGTAGGCTAATGTCTCTGTTCTAGACAATTTAGAATGTTCACACCTTAAAAGTGGTTGATAGTGTAATAATTACTGGAGAGCTTTAGATTTGAGGAGAGAACAGTACCAGAAGGAGATCTAACTTAAAGTTTTTGTGCGTGTTTAAAAGAAAAAGACACCCCAGAAGGCTTCAATGTACTTTTTTTCTCCAAAAAAGTTAGTACTGTTATTTACTGAAGGAGGCTAGGCCTCTCCTGATAGCAGAATGATAAAACTTCTTACATTTGATAACTTGTTCCCACCACTAAACTCTAGAAGAATGACAACAGCTATCATGTTTTTCTGCCAAAATGACGCTGGTTTACCCGTGAGCAATACTCAGTATAGAGAAAATATTGTACTCATAGTCGTACTTGTCTCAGAATCTAAAGGTCTCTGCTATCGTTTTTGTGTCCATCCCTGAAGCATGGTAATTTTTGTAGTACCTACAGCTGTAGTTTACTCTTCAAGCTTTAACTGCCACTTTTTACCAGTGAAAATAATGTGAAGGTCAGGCAGTAAAATCAACCACAAGTTTGTTGCCATTCCATCCCCATTCCATCATGTTTTGTTCACGTGCTTTTGAAACTAAGGAGAAAACATGAAAGTTACACGCTACCTCTTAAGCTTGGACGGTGAAAACAGTAATAAAAAGGCCTTCCCAAATGACAATCGTGAAAAAATGTTGATTTTGCATCATAATTCCAACATTTCAAAAGTGACACATGGAGACCAAAGTGTTGATGTTTCAATAGTCAAACTATGCCCTAAATTTGTCACCCTTCAGAGATGATACAAGTGGTGGTAACAGCAACAAAGAAGTGTTGTATTTTGAGGAACAGGAAGTCATTACTTTTTAATATATAACCACATGGTTTGAATTTTTTACCTGGTTCCTTAAATGTGACAATCCAGTTTTGGTTCTCTTACTGTGTAAATTTTCCTATTGTTTCTCGAAATGTTTGAAATTCCATCACATTAACAGGGATGTTTTTGTTTCATTTTATTATGCCAAGGTCATCACCCACCCCCCAAATAGTTGAAAGGCGATATTCAAGAATGCAGTCTGCATTTAAAATGTAACATTTGATTGAAAGTTCTTATTCGCAAGGAAAATGGACAACGTTAAAAAGTTTAAGTGTTCATTGGAGTGTCTTCATCTCAAAAGAATATCACCCACAGAATTAATAGTGGAAGTGCTTTGTTTGTTTAAGAAATGCCATTTCACTAAATAAACAAATGAATGCTCACAATTGGAGATTATCATTCACTTACCTGAGTATCATTCTCTTCCTTGTAAGAATCAAGCTTTGGTGAAGTCATTAACCTTCAACAAAATTATAAGATTGTGTTTTTGATAAAGAAAGTAGTAACATTTTTCCATGTTAGTAAAGCCAGTAGTTTGTTTACATTTCTGGTTCTAGAAAATGTCATTTCTTGTACTAGGAATGTGCATATGTTTTCTGTTTTCTTTCTGATGGAATAATAATCTTCCTCTTAAGAGGAGATCACCCTATCTGTTGAGTCATTAAAAAGTATCCAGGCTTCAAAAACTCATTAATATTCAGTAGGCATATAGTCCAATTATTGACTTCGCAGATTTAATCATGTGTATTTAACAATTATTCCACCAGTGCACAGTGGACATGAGATGGTAGTATGAGATTGTAGATAGCCAACTCGGCGCCAAGCGCCTCTAGTGCCGAGTTGGCTATAATCATTTCATATCCAACAAGCGCGAGTGGAATAATTGTTTTATTAAAAAACACCCACAAAATATAGAGAATTCTTTCTGGCTTTATTTGTGCAGATGCGTACAGTTACGATATTTGGAGAGCATGGTATAATGGCTCATATACCATGATGGCTAAGCCAATCAGAACTCTAGAATTGCATTATCCAATGATTTAGTTTTTAGTAAAGACCTTTATACTTGATAAGATTCTGCAAACTGAAAAGTCAGGCTTTGAATTCAGTCTCAGGGGAAATGTGAGGTTGAATGACTGAATCAGTGGAATACCAGTGTAAATTTTATGTAAAGAATACCTATAGACATGAAATTTATATATTGACAGTCCTCCTAATTTACAAATAAATGAACACTTAAAAATTTGACAAAATTAATCTCCCAGGAAAAGTTCAAAAAATTTTTCCTCATCCTTAACTGAACAAAAAAAACCGTTGACCAGTCAGAAGTTATTCTAAAACGAAATACAAAGTTTTCTAACCAAAAAAGCACCAAGCAGCAGTCCATGTTACCATTTCAAGAAGTAATGGGTGAAATTAGTGACAAGCAACGAAATAAAATTCTTACCAGTTTGCAATTCTGTTAATTATGCCGTGTCGCAGTTACATTTAGTGACACTCTACACAATCAATTTTTTCCTCTTCTGTTGTATTATGTTTCCTCCACCGTTATAAATTCTGAAAAGTTCTAACCTTTTTTTCTTTTTTTCCAGGCCAGTGTAATTCATCAAGATTTCCTGAGGTTTATACACGTCGATGATCATGACCTTATCAGGAAAAATCTGCAACCATTTCCAGAAGATGAAGAGGAACAAGTAAGAGAGTATTATTCTCTAGAGTAACTTGTGAACAGGCTCGCAGAGCATCTGCTGACACTTTATTCCTCTCTTCTCCCGTTTCCTCAAAGACAGCTAGTTTTCAAAGTGACAACCATTGCTTTAATGCCAACATGCAGGTTGTTGTGATGAAAAATATTGTGCTTACTGTTTAAGCTCATGTTTGATTTCCAGACTCGGCATGGTTGCAAAGTCCTTTTGATACAAGGCGATTCAATACAAGTTAATTTAGTTGAGGTGTAATATTAGTTTCACGTCCTTGGCTTACAAAGAATATTCACCCAAAATGTTCTTCTTGTTCACATGCAATCTATACTTGAAGTGAACAAAAGTTTTGTGCAATTTCACTGCTTGGATTGTATCAAAACGACTTGTACCAAAACAACTTTGTATTGAAACAACCAGTTTACAGAATCATACATGGGACAACTTGTAAGCTAATATCGGTCTTTTCCAGTCCATCTCCAAACACCAGCATTTCTAAATTCCAATTCGGCTTGTTTGAAAAAGAAAAACAACAGTCATCTTGTGAGAGCCAGTGACACCTACAGTTGTAAATGGGTAATCAGAAGCAGGGAATTAACACTTCCAGAACTGGGCCCAATCTTTAAGGTCTTAAGAGTGACTAACATCAATTTTCTCAGGTAGAGATCCATACCGGTTTCCACTGTTTTACGCAAATCGGTCAGATTTTTCATAATAAATGTATTTTTAGTAAAAAACTTTAAACCTTCCAAGTTGAAATCTGAAAAATGGTTTGGACAGTCAGTAAATATCCTGTCTGAATGAATCATAAACCCAGGAAAGGGGCTTTAGGGAGTTAAAATCCAAAACATTTACTAGGGGATCGGGAGCATGCTGCCAGACCTCCCTAGAAGTAGGAAATCGGTCGGTATTTATTCTAGATCTGCGCCTGTTTCTCCTAACAACATCAATACATTATCACTAGAAAAGGTTAGGAGGATTAATGAAATTGTTGTCAAAAGAAAAATGTCTCAATCTTTCATCAAATTCTCTAAACCTGTTTTGAAAGAAAATGTTTGGAGATCAGTCTGGAGAATTTGTATGTGGATCTTGGGGTGTAAAGGACTAAGAGCAAGTGCCAAGGGGTTTTCTTGTTGTTCTTGTAAACTTTGCTTGAAGTTATTGCCTGAGAAAACTGCGGCAGGAAAAGCTCTTGAATGCAGAGCAGGAGGTTGCGGGTTCAACTCCTAGGGCCGGACCAATACTCAAGGTCTTAAAATAACTGAAAAATGAAGATATTGCCTTTGCCCTGCAAACGGCTAGACCTTCACGTGGCTCGGATGACCACCTAAAATGGTGGAGGTGTAAAAAAGTGTCCTCAATTAGTACTTTTGTGCTAAATACATTGACACACAAAATAATAAGGTGGATTTTTATTTTTTACTTTATTTTTTTTTATACTACACAATGAATTTTAAACCACTAACCACATTAGAGGCCAATATAGTGTTTTGATTTTGGTTCTAAATTGACAAGATAAATATCAAGTATTGAATGTTATCTAGAGCAAAGTTCTTTAATCCTAAAGATGAGGTCCTGAAGATGTTAGATAAAAGAGAAAACATTACAAGAAAGCAAGGCATTCATGTTGCTTAAATTTGTCCAAAAGTTTTATGCAGACCTGTCTCCTAGCAATAATTTTAAACAACACTTTCTTTTCTTTTTGGCCTTCATGGCCCAGTAACCTTTCTATGTTGTTTAATGCATTGTAAAAAGAAGCAAGTGGTTATTAATTTTCATGGCTTCCCATTTTTTTTTCATATATTGCGTTATCCTGATATTGTCTGCTGCACAAAAGGATTTACAATTTATGACAGTGTTCCCTGAAATAATCTTTTTGATATTTGATACACTCATCCACTCCATTTGAACATGATAAAGTGCTGGGATATTTGAATATAAAACAAAAAACAAGGTCTGATTCATTTCCAGTTCTTTCTCTTATTTGTTTAAAAACTCTCTTTCTGCTAGCTACCTATACCTTAATTGGTTTTGGCTATACTTACATGTATCTAGTGGATGGGACATTTACGGTTATATTAAGGTTACATAAGTCATTTAATAAGACTGTTGATTGAAAATTTTTTTCGCATTATATTGCTTTGTTCAAAATTCATGTATAAAAATAGTACATTAGTATATTTGACATTCCATTTGTTGAATTATTTTACAGAAAATTAGAATTCTTGATGAAGAAAATGATGGTACAGCTTCGGAGACAGGAAGCACTTGCAGTGGAGGTAAACTGTCTTTTGATTAAAATTATGACTTTCCTCTGTTTTATGGTAAGTAAGATTCTTGACCAGCCAAACCTGAGTTTTTACTCTTCTTTGATAAAAGTTGACTTGCTACAAGTCGACCTCTCATTAGTTCCTAAAAGCGTGGTTATTAGGAGACTGATTATGAAGAGCGGCAAACATCAAGTATAAAAGCAATGGTGCTGTAGTTTATAGTGGAGGCTCCCTGAAGGTGCACAATCCTTTGTTTTCTTGTGTCAAATTGTGACGGAATAAATTAATGCAACGTTTTTATTGGTCAATATGATCAAAATGATAGGAATGCTTTTGAATGTTGTGCACTTTCAGGTCCACAAAAACATATCAACAAGGGAATCTGACGTGTTTCATAACCATTCCACTCTATTAATGCTTAAAGGAAGCTTTGAAGTCGTGCATCGATTTGTTGATCGCTCGACTTGTTTCACCTGAATGGAGTTGAATCATATCATAAATTCATGGATGAAAAAGTGATTGACATATGCTGTGTCGGAAGTGGCATCAAATATTACTGACTCCTATTGGTCAATTGTCATGACATCACTGAATTGCTTGGTTGAATTTTGCACCAAACATGTATGAAAAGTCCTTTAAAATGGCATCACCAACCAGAAAAAAAAATTAAAGGACTATTAGAAAGTCTAGTAAAAGTTAAGGACCACTGATCATTTCATTGTTGTTGATGAGACATATCATAATATTTACAGATGATGGAAGCAAAAGTGGAGACGACGTAGAGACAGAGAGGTCATTTGTGTGTAGAATGAAATGCATACTCAACACCAGCGCTGGCTTTTTCAAGGTTTGTCGGTAGAAATTGATTTATTTCAGGGTTTGTACGGGTCATGGTAAACCTGGAAAGTCACGAAATTTATGCATCCCATTTTACAGTCCTGGAAAGTGGTGGAAAATTAAAGTTATGTTTGGTAGATTAGTTACTGCAGATGTCAAAGCAAGGATAATGTAAGATGGAGACAAGTAATTGAACAGTGCAAAGAGGGGGTGGGGGTGGCATGGTCCACACATTTTGGTGGACACCAGAGTGTGTGTGTTGAACTTGGTATGATTGAAACATACCCTAAAACAAGCTAAAATCAAGATAGACCTAAGTTTATGGAAAACTTTAATGGTTCATGGAAAATTCCTGGAAAGTCATGGAATTTGTAGAGCTAAAAAGAGTTTGAACGGAAACTTGGGAAAATTCTTTGATTCTTGGTATACACTTTCATCACCTATTTTTTGCAGACAAAAGTTGACTGTTAAAAATTTCAATTTCTAGAATCCTTGTCATGGGAAATTATGTTGTTAATTATGTCCATAAAAAAATAGATGCTTAGTGTGGATATGTTTAACTCTGCAGCCATTCCGATGTAGTGGACGTCTACGTGAAATGACCCTTCCAGATAGTGAGAAACGTGAATATGGTCTGTTCATGATCTGTACTCCACTGGAAACTGTATCTTCGTCAATGCTTGAGATCAGGTTAAAAACATCATTGTTCTGCACCAAGAACAGAATGGACCTGAGTTTTATGGACATTGATCAGAAGTAAGACGATGTTCTTTCATTTGTAAAGATTTCATTCTTTTAGAAAATCATTACTATTAGGTTGGTATTGCAACATACTGATAAAACTGGAATCCAAGTGACATTCCTCATGAGGAAATACTACTGGTATAAGAGAAATGGTAATGGTATGCTTTTCTTGCCAGGGGGCGATCTTTGCTTGGCTATCACAAGAGAGACATAGCTCTGCAATCAAGTTACTGTATGATTCATTTTGATGACATCCCTGTACTGCAGACTCTTCACAATGACTGTAAGTAAAGCTCTGCAAACTTTAAATATCCACATGTGTAGCTGGTACACCAAATTAAAGTTGTAGCCTCTATGCCTTAAAGCGTATGAGTATGGTAAGTTAAGGCTGCAGTCACTGCTTGATGTAAAATAGCAGAGCCATTGCATAAACAATCCATAAAGCTGCTTGTCATCTTTTAAAGGATGCCTTTACACTTCATTCTCAGCCAAGCTGGGAGAGCAGATTATTGTGCTTTGTATTTACCCTGCCTTCACGAAAATGATTGACAGAACAGAAAACCCAAAGTCCCTTCGAAGTTTGCAATACAACGAATTTCGGTGTAACTGATGATAATTTTGAAATTCTGGTATGTGAAAAAATAAGATAATATAAATATATATGTTGCAGTTAATTTTTAATTTCAGTTAATTTTTGTTTTTCCTTTGTTTTAAATTCATTACCATACATTACCATACCCCAAAACAATGGAAAAATAAAAATTAACTGAAATAAAAAATTAACTACAACATATATATATATCAGCATGCAAAGAAAGTAGTGTCCGATAGCCCGCGGCTAGTGGAATTTGCTATCGGTCTACTGAATTCTGTTATTAACTTGCCCGACGGGCAAGTGATCTTTTTTGAGGAAATCAACTAACAGAAGAACTGTGAAATCAATTCTGCTCTTCAAAAAGCTTTTGGGGCTAGTTGAAATGACGTCTGGGCTAGTAAATGTTAGCTTCAGCTTGCCCTAATGGCAAGCTGTAAAAATGGTTTTCTTTGCACCCTGTTATATAGATGTAGCCAAAACCAAAAGCATTTTAAGAATTTATTTTTCTTTTACTAGTGATGACAACTGGAAAATGCCAAGGAACTTTCCGCATGCTTAATAAAAACCTCAAATGGCAGTGGTTAACAGGAACAGCACAAGTGGTGTTTAAAGGAAATGAACCTGACTTTATTATCACAACAAACAGGCCTCTGAGGTGGGTTTTATATAATTTTTATCATGAAGAAAGGTTATCATCCTGAGGGTACCTTGTTCCTCTGACTACCATGTACAAATTTTCTTGTACAAGCCAGAACTGCAATTAACCCTTTAAACTCTTAGGTAAAAATCCAACAAAATTTTCTAACAATTTCAACCTTGCAAAAATGCTTTGACAGAGTTTTAGTAAGTGAAAATACTATACAACTGAAGAGGTTTCATTTAAATGGTAATACCATACATGTGTTGTGGAGGCTTGTGTGGCGGAGTGGTTAACGATCCTCAAACTCCGGATCTGGAGGTCCGGGGTTTAAGCCTCGCCCATTGCGTTGTTTCCTTAGACAAGGAACTTTACTCCACTTTGTCTCTCTTCACCCAGGAGTATAAATGTGTGCTCGCGACATACTGCTGGGGGGTAACCCTACGATGGACTTGCATCCCATCCAGGGGGGAGTAGTAATACTCCTAGGTGCTTCATGCTATGGAAACGGGATAAGCTCTGGCATTTGGACCTTTGCCTACCAAAAACGTGTAGGATTTCATCAGCAGACTTAAAGCAAAAAACTATTTTACAGGACTCAATCATTCACTCTGGACATGAAAAAGTGCTTATTCTGGCTTTCAAGTTAATTAATAGATTTAGCAAAGGGCCTGCCAAGTGATATCTGATAGACAAATTGCCCCGTGTTTCCTTGTCAAACAAAGGGAGACTGAAATAACCATAAGATTAAGGTTACCAAAAAGGTTTTTCACCTGCTCTGGCGAAGACATTTGGTGTAGAAAATTCCCCAACTCAAAGCAAAATTTGAGACAAGAAACTTCTTTTGCCACAAAAATACTCCTGCTGCTTTCAAGTACTTCCAGGGAATGGGTCACAACATCAACCCACACTGTGTAAAAGTACTATCCGACAAAAATATCATCATCAAGCGCTGGGTCAAGAAGGCCATGGCTATCAAGCAAAGAAAACCCTCTCTGAATAGGGGCAAGGGACTGGACTTACGAGCAATTTATAATCCTCTCTCGGGGTTGTCAGAAAGTTTTGAAGTGGACAGGTGAGTTGTTAAAGTAAGTGGCCAGTCTGTAAAGAAAAAACGCCATCCGTAAAGAAATGCCAAGCAGAATAGCTGGCCGATACTAACCAAGTAGGCGGTGATTTTCGCCGGCAGCTGGCTACTTTTGACAACCCTGGGATACATAACAGCTTTTCTGTTACACAATCTGACACTTCACAACGCTGATGAAGTTCAAGCGATTCAGTTGAAATATTGATTTTCTGTCTCAAGTTTTGCACCGAGTTTTGGAATTTTCAATACATGAGATTGAGAGTCTCAAAGGGCTTCTTCCTTAGCCGAACATTATCTAAGTAACTGTGATTTGGGTACTGTTTGCAGTGATGAGGAAGGTGAAGAAATATTAAGACAAAGAGGGCAATTCCCAGCTCTGCCATTCACAGCAAGTGATTGTGGGTCACCTAGCCCACGAAGCCCTGGCAGTCCAGCCAGTATTGGAAGCTACAGGAATGGTGGCAGTCCACAGGCAGTTCCTTGGGATCGTTTCTCTGTGAAGATGGATACCTTTAAATTTCCGAACATGCCCACAAAGTACCCTAATAGTAATGGTAGAGTTAAGAAGAAGCCGCCACAGCAAATTTCTGATGATATTGCGAAGTCCCCTGCAAGCGGTAAGTGTTTTCCTTTTTTTGCGTTAATAACGCTTCAGTATACAGATAAAATAATGATAAGGCTATGAGAGGGCCATGGGTTTTTGGTAAAACTAATAGCAATGATCTTGAAGACAACGTTAACTATATATCTTAAAGTAATTATTGTTTCTTGAGAATATGAAGCAATCACTGCCAGCCCTTTACCATGTGAAAACAATGATAAAGGCAACAGAAAAAACTTTGGCCTTTGGCCAAGTTATTCTTGATGTGGTGTATGAAAATTCTCCACAGAGATGAGAATGGTTCCAGAAAATTAGAAGTTAATGGCCCTGGACACTTACTGTATTATATAGGAAATTAATGGTCAGTGAGATTATGGTATTGAAAATAATGCAAATTTAATGGAAAACAAATTTCAGATAAAGGAAATTAACGCAAAGGAGGGGGTAACATTTCAGACTGAAGTAAATTAATGTGCCGTTTACAAAGAAACAAAACTTGTTGAGACACAGGATCAAAGTTAAATGTATAATCTGAAATGGAAACTTTGTGTGTGGTTTTTTCCCTAAATGTACCAAGGGGATCAATGGAAGAAACCTCCCCACATCGAGGGTTCTTTACAGTTTTACTGGTACTGGCAGACCTCGGCCCTGGTGCAAAATACTCCTCTTTCTTGAGAAGTTGGGGCCAAAATAATGGAAATTAAGTTCGCGGAAATCCTCACTCCACTTAATTAATGGTGCAGAAATAGAGGGGTTTGGGGCATAAAGGATACTTTGGAGATTGATTAGTCCGGGGGGGGTTACACTTGCTTAATAATCAAGGCGAAGACTTATTTTGGCTATGTATGCACACGGATATAGAGATTCCATTTAATTAAAAAGTAAAGTTTTTGAATTAAAATAGACATGTGAGTCAAAAAGAGGCATTTTATGGTATTGGGTCTTAGTTAATTTTGTATTCTGGCCGAGGGGTGGGCACTTATTTAGTGGCAAGGGCTTGTTTGCTGGTGCTCATTTGAGGAAGTATGGCTTTTGTAGGAAAAAAGTATTACGGTATAGACTACAAACATGAATTTTGCCCATTGCAAAGGTCACAAGGATGTATTTAAAAACCAGTTCTTAACTGTCAGATCAGTCACTGCAAAAGGTGCCCAGTTGTTTTGTCCCCTGAGCAAAGAAAGAAGAAAGATGAAAACAATCATTTCTTGTTAAAGCATTTTGGCATGAGTAGCTGCAGTTTCTTTAAATCTGCTAAAGAATTTCAGCGACTGAATATGAGCAAAGTCACAGGTGGGAGAAGTGACTGTAAACCACTGTGCAAAAACATCACTATCTTATTAATGTAAAGTTTGTTTTATTGACTTGTTAAATCCAATGCGTATATGCATGTAGGTGTAGCAGTATTCCTATCCACAGCAAGTTGCCAGTGTTTTTGTTATTGCTATGTGCTGCAACATCCATACGTGCAACCTGCAAGTCTCGCTGTTTCATGACGGCGAAATGGGGATCAGATGTGCTGCTGGTTTTCTTTCACTTGCCCGCTTATTTTGTGCTATGAGATCCATGTTTGGCTGCTGCCCCCTCTGCCCTCTCCCTCCTCCCTCTCCCTCCCCCCTTCCCCTGCCATTAAGGTTACCCAATAATTTCAAGGCACCTCTCTAAACACTCTTAAAGAAACATTCTGTATTTCTTCAAGGGATTGTGATGTTTGAATTTCTAAAAATCCCAGCAATTTTGTTTAGGCCAATCCCTTTTCAGAATGAAACAAAGACTACCTTTGATTTTTACTCATTTTAATTATTCTAAATCCATTACAGTTTTTGGTTAAAAGTTCATGCTTAAATAGATAATAATGAGGTAAAATTCGTAGGTTATTTCGAACATCTTGGCCTTTAAAGCTATTTGGTAACCTTTCATGTAAATACCATCTGCAATCACAAAACTATTGGCTGAATTTCAGTGATAATGTACATTATTTCACCTGTAAATGGAGACATTTTACCCCTTTGCATTTAGATTTTTAATTTTTACTGTGCAATTTATCTAGTAATGTCTATAACTGCCACTGAATTTTCTGTGAACATGATCCAATAAAAAATCTCCTTTAATTTTCTCTGAATTACTGTAAAAATGCACCTAAAACAGAACTCTTTGAATAGATGTTATTTTGAAGATGTACATTTTGAATCAATATGAAAAATCCTTGAAAATGTTTTCCATCCAAAATTTTTTAAAGCTCTCTCTAAGTACCTGGTAATAGTCGTCCAATTGGGACTCACCATTTGTTCTGTTGTTATTAGGTGCAACCTCCCCAATGGAGGAAGATCTTCCCCCTTCACCACAGCACCCTGGGTCCCCATTTCCTGATGCCCTCTTAAGTTCTACCTCTTGTACTTCTGCACCCTTGTCTCCGCCCTTGCTGGACTTGGGTGTAGATATACAAGCTGAGCTTGAAAAGGATGCTCCTGACCTAGACTTCGCGCTTCTTGATCCACAAGGTAAGATGAACCTTGTGTTGCTCTCTTGCTCTCTCTCTCTCACTGCTGCTTGCTTTTCTTCGTTTCCGCTTTCTGTACAACGCAGACTCTTTCACTTAAAGTAACTCTAACGTTATGCACCCTGTAAATAATTAAAGTAATAACGTAAAGTTCTGTTAATGTCTTTTAATGCTGAGTAACTTTACTTCTATATTCTTATCTATTATTTATAAATGTTAGTTAATGGTTATAAAGTTAACTTTGTTGGTAATAAAGTTTAGAATGAGATCAAGTGCTCTTTCAAGGCCTTCAAAAGTAATCATATAATTTCATTTGGTTTAAATTAAATTAATAACGACACTGATATTCTAACCAATCAGAGCAGACATCCTTTGCCCAGCCTATCATCAAATGCAGACGTGCTCACCCAGTCAAAAGGAAAATTGCTACTTTGTGGCTTGCGTCACTTTCCTCAAATTTCACTCAGTGAACTCGTTTTTGTGTTTGAGTATGCATTTGTTTCTCAGTGTCACTGTGACGTGTTAAGTATTCTTAAGGTCATAAAGGACTACTTTAGCCCTTATGATTATGTACAAGAGGGAGGTTGGATGCCTACCCCATTCGTTATAAGGTTGCCATTCACCATTTTGACATAGACCATAATGCACCTTGTTTACCCTCCAACATTTTGCACAACCATTGTCTTTGCGTGTTCTCAGGACAACCGTAATACCCTGGAGAAATTGGAAATGATGGCTATGCATTTTTTTTTTTTTGCATGGGGGGGGGGCTAAACAAGGTACGTAATAGTGTATGTGAAATGGTTAGTGCAGAAATTTCATCAAAGTCTCTCACTTTCATGGTCATGTTTTGGTGAGACAGTTTTTGAAAACATTATTAAAAATTATTTTGGACGGAAGGCTGCTATCTATACAAGATGCAGTATTGGGATTAGGGTTATTCAGCGACGACATCTTGAATGTAGCATTTCTTATAAGGCCATTTGAGTCATTTACTAACCAAATGATGTTTCACACACCACTGCAGGTTGTAATAATCATTATAATGCAATAGAACTAATACAGAACACTTCAATGCAGTTGCTTTGCATGATTAACACCAGTTTGAGTATGTCAGAGTTACGGCCAATAAGACAAATCAAGAGGAACCAATTTTCTTTTTTTCATTCCATTTTTAGTCATAACTTCCAGTAATTCAGTCATAGTGCGCTTGCCAGCTAGCACACTCATTTTTATAACCTTATAATGCATGACATTCCTAAATGTACTAATGGTGATAATCAAGTTTTTTCATATTTTTATCAGTATTTTGAGTGCTTATTTTTTACGCCTTCTGTTTAAAGGGACAGTAGGGCCATTTATACCAGGAAAAATAAGACGCATCTTACATAAGATGCGTCTTAAATAAATGGCACATTTCGTCTAAAATAAGACGCGACTTAGCTAAGACGCATCTTATTTTAGAACAGCCCTTAACACCTGTTCTTAGATAAGACGTGTCTTAGCTAAGACGAGAAAAACTTCGTATAAATGACCTTCGCGTCTTACATAAGACGCAAACGCATGGTACGCGTGCGTTAATTTTTGGCGGGAAAATTTTTGTGCCTTGTTGGTTGCCGTTGCTATGGGCAACATTCATATGAAAACGAGTCAAGAACAGAAATAAGACGCGAACCATTTATACGAGCTGTTCTCGTCTTAGATAAGACATGCTTGTATAAATGGTACAGTTCACGTCTTATTTAAGACGCGTTTTATGTAAGACGCGTCTTATTTTTCCTCGTATAAATGGCCCTAGTGTGTCACAGTTTGCTCCATTGTGTATAGTGGTTTTAGTTTTATCACTTAAATGTATTTTCTCTGAACCTTAGTGACAGCAGAGAAATGGTTTCTTAATTTTGTGAGCACAGCTTCATGACAAACAGTTTTTTCTCCAGAGCACCAATTCAAAATTACAAATGACAATATTAAACTTCGAAAGCTTGTCAGACTGGACGGGTTTCAATATCGATTGGAATTGTCTTCACAGTTGCATAATGATCTTTCACTGTTTCAGGTGGTCATTTTTATGTTTCACTCATTTCAGTGGACAGTTCATAATGCTGAATGTGGCTAAATTGCCTTTAGAACAGCTTCCCTAAAAATCTCTCAGCCATGTGTCGGCATACTGCCAACCCACAGTTCACTGACAGATGACCAACAGCTCTGTGGCAGTCAGCTAACAGACTAGCACTAACCCCAGTTTATTAAAAAAATATGTTCACCATACATTTGTTATTACTGCTAACAGTCATAAACCAACAGCCCAATTTTTCCAAAAGTGCACAGACAGTTGCTGACACATTGCCAACAGATAACCGACAAGCGATCAACAGTTAACTGACTGCCAGCCATCTGTTGGCTGACACTTGGCTGACTGTCGGTCGACAGTCTGCCTACAGACAGGCTACAGATTTTTGGGGAGCTGTTCTTCAATTTCACGGAGAAAAGCACTAATTGAACTATATTACACCCTTTCAGTTTTGGATGTGTCTAGACTTGGCTCTGATCATCAGTAGTTTGGGGCTGATGCTATTCCATAAAATGAGATTTTTGGTTTTTGGGCTCTTTTGTGCTCATGTTTCCGAGATGCCTTGTCCATTGCATAGGCTTAATTGTGGGTGATTGACTTGTTAACCCTTTCAGTCCCAATAGTGACCAAGATCAATTTTCTCCTAACAATATCCATACACTGTCAAGAGATAAGTTATGAGAATTCATAAAATGATCACCCAAGAGAAAATGCTTTGATCTTTCATCAAATTCTCTCAACTAATTCTTTAAGGAAATGTATGGAAATGTTGGGAGAATTTGTATGTGGATACTGGGGCTTAAAGGGTTAAACTTTATATGCTGTTGGTTGTCGATTTGAGTCTTTGTCTCCTTTTTTCCATAATTATCGTGGAATAGTGTGTTGCGCGGACAATTTCAGCACTCTAAAACTAATTTCATAACCTGAAATTAACTATAGCAAATAATAACTGTCTGTGCTCAAACTGTGAACTTAGTTTTGAAGTACAACTCTCTGACTGTTTCTGCATCTTATTTCACAGAATTGTCATTAGACGATTTCCCACTTGAACCACTAGAGAATGTTTCGCGCATTGAGGAAATGGCGTCATCCATGTCACTACTGGCTGTTGATCCACCAACGTACGAGGAAGCGATACGTCTTGCTACAGAATGTCTTTCAAGTTCATCTAGTGGTGGACTAACAAGCCCGGATGGAAGCCATCCTTCGTTATCTCAAAGTCCACCCCAAGGAAATCTTGAGCATTTTCCAGCTGCCTCACCTTACCCCTCCCCTGGTTACCCATCACCTCATATGTCACCTGGTAATTTGCCAACTCCAGACCCCTCCCCCATTGGTAATTCCAATCCTTCCACAGCAAGTGTGAACATCTCTTGGCAGGGTATGGGGCAAATGAAAGTCTCCTCTCAACCTCAACAGCACTGCCCACCCCAGCAAAACCATCTGCCTTATTCAACCATCCCATCGCCACAGCCTCCGATACAAGTCCCAAGCAAATCTGCTCTGATCTCAGCTGAAATGAAAAAGAGAGAAAAGAGTGATACGTACCACCGTAACAGCTGCATCTCGGGACAATCACCCAACCCCATGACAAGCCCTAGAAGAATGCAAAATATGCCAGGTCAAAGTATACCTAGTAACTGGCAACAGCAGGTGCAGTCAGTGCAACATCAACCACCAACACACTTGCCGCACCAGCAGGGCTATGAATGGAAAGCCCCACAAGTGCATACCGGTAATCACATGCCTTATTTTCCCGGAGAAAGAACTGCCACAGCCACAAGGCCAGATAACCCAGTTTATGCCACAAATATGCAGGGGAGGAATTGGACGGTCCCTCCCCTGTTTGAGGACACGCTGCCACCCCTTGAGTGTGACAGTGTAGGTGGCTACATGAAGACTGGGCAAAATGTTCAGGGTCATCTTCAACACCACAGTATGGACCCCTCTATTTTATCACCACCTTATCAGGAGGACTTTCACTCAGGATTCACTTTTCAAGGGAATCCATTACCAGCGATGAGTCAAGGGCAAACAACTCTTGGGCACTGGTGAAAAACCGGCCACACCCAGTAATAACATACTGTCAGTCAGTAGTAGCTTACTTACTGTACCTTCAGAGTAAAGTGGGGGGGGCCAGTTGTAACTTGTCCTTGTCATGGCACTGTGGTAAATCACAATGTCATGCTTCAAAGGGACATTAGCAAAGCCTTAAGGTCAGGTGTCAGTGCATCTAGATATGTTTTCAAGTTGTTGATAGTTTGTATTGACATGATTAATTAACTCTAGCAGGGAATTTTCTATTGTCTTCAGAACATTCAGATTGACGGAGTCTCTGTGATAATTTGCTGGGATGCAGATTACAAAGTTTTATTTTGCTGTGTTATGACTAACTTCATGGCATTCAAAGTGCCATGCACTATTTAATGAGAATAGCCTGAGAATGCATTCTCGTATTAAAGGAGAAGTGATTTGCCATGAAAATCAATACATCTAATCAGATTTGCAACCAAGTGCTTTATTGATCACTCTGCCGTAATATGGTGGAACTTCCAGACTAAAATCCAAATTAGCGGGGAAGAACAAAATCGAAATCGAAATTGCTTAACCAAGTTAAAAGTAGAGAAAACGTTTTGTGTAAATCCTGAAAGTCGATGACATGTAGAAGTTACTTGATTTGAGCTTTAAGTTGTATTTTGTCCTAGATGTCTTTCTCTTCCTGTTTTTCTTTGCGTACTTGGCATCTGTGGATCTTTTTATCTTCCCTCGTTGTCAACCAAAGTTATGTCTGGAAGTAGTGAAAATTTCATTTGGTTTTCCATCTGTTTCTTTCGGTCAACATTGCACTTGGTAATGAAAATCATACTTTCAGGGTTTTAGCCAGGAAATTATTCACACGTGATCCCAAGGTAGCCCCCACCCCTCTAATGAGGTCAGGGGCAAGCCATCCTTCCAGGGGGAACTCTTTGCAATTTTTGCCGAAAAATAGGCCCTAGACTCTCTTAATTCTCAATCCAGTAGATCTAGAACCAAGATGTCAGAATTTTGTTTTCTTCAAGACTAGGTCTCCACAGGACAATGTGACTCCCACCTGGCTAAAACCTTGCTTAGTTTGCTAGGTAGAAATTGTTTAGGGACAAAACAATACGTATTAGGAGTTTCTAGATTAGTGTTCTATTTGTAGGGTTCCGTGCTGGTCACCATACCAGGATTTGTACCAGTAATTGATTTGCAGAGGTATAATCTGATCTATGTTCACAAAGGAGACAAATACAAAAAAGGATGTGTCTTAAAACCTGTAGTCATGACGTTCATTGTTCTACCACTCAACTCCCATGTACAGATGTTTAGACGGGACTTCCTTGCTTGTACATTATTTTGCTTTTTTTTATTATCACATTTTTGGTCATTTTGTACTCATTTACATATTTATAGATACAGTACGCTCAACACTTCTTGATTTCACTTAGCACATTTGTAAGCAAAACAAGTCATAATCAAGCCAAACAGGAGCTGCAAAGTGTATTCAAGATAAGTTTATTTAGAAGTGGATAGGAGCAATTTGTATATTCACAGCTTGAGAAATAATTCTCTTTACAAGACACATCCTTTTTCCATTCATTGTCTTTATAAACTGCGACTTGTAATTTTTTCAGAAAATTACTCAAGCATTAAGGGAGCAATTTCCCTTGTAAATATTCCCACTAGATTGTCCATATGGTTTAGATTTTTGGATTTTATGTGAAGACTGAGTAAAAGGATAAAATGGCTGTGGCAGTGGAAATGATTAAGTGTAAAAGTGTGTAGTGTTAAAAAGTTATGATCAACTTAATATGTTGATGTGGGAAAGAGGGCACAGCTATAAAAACCAGGCCCTTGAAATGATCATAGTACGTGACTAGTAGAGAGTTCATGTTAGCTTGACATGAAGTACTTTCTGCAAAGGTTAACAAACTAGGGCATACTGATAGTAAGAGTAATGCATCCTCGTTAATTACCATTAATTGTTTCAAAGTGTGCGCAACAATCAAAGAAAATGACTGGATTTCAATATCTTAGTAGGAAAAACTCCCTTTAAAAGAATTGATCCAAGAGCGTGGTTTTTGGCTACTTTTCATGGCTCACATCAATATATTAATTTTTAAAGTCTTTAATTTAAGTGCTAATACAATAATTAGTTTAGAGTAGTTGAAAGTCAAGCGATTAAAAAAGTTAAGTGCTTTATAGTATAAGAAGAGTACATTAGTGTTAGGGTGTCTGCAGTGTCAGGTGACGGGAATGTGTTGTTAGCTACAAGTATTAAAAACTCGCATGATCCAGCCTGGTTTGTCATTACTTTGGAAAAGTAAGCTTGAAGAAATTGGTTGTCTTTACCCTAGGCTGTTAACTAAGACTTCGAGCTGCCAAGTTTTACTTAACCAAAAATGCACGTGTGAAGGCCTAAGTAAAATCTCACATAACTTTACTTTGCATCTTATTAAAGCCAGAAAGTTGAAACGATTCAAGAAAGTTCGAAAACCATCCTCAAATCCCATTTAGCGAACTTGCAGTTTCTTAGCTTTGAGGAAGGCAAAGCATGTCAATCAAACTTAATTTACGTTGCATGGGAAAATAGGCTTAAGTAAACCTGAAGTAAAAAACATAGGTTGTGTGTGATGTTTTCTTTTACTTGAGGAATTTAAAATTTACTTGTCTTGAAATATTTCTTAGCTTATTTAGGCTCTAGTGTAAAGACTACCATTTACTTGGCTAGAATTAGACCATTACAAAAAAAATTTGTAGTTGTTAATTATGCAAATGGTGCCTAATTAACAGCTTCAGGAACCTATGACACCCCCTTTGGCGCATTTTTCAAGTGAAAAAGTTGGTTGACAGGTATTGAACCATCAGCAAAGCAATACCAACTTTCTTTGACTATGTTTAAAGAAGTCTCTGCAATATTTACCCAAAACAGTTGCCTGTTTTAGAAAAACAGAGCAAACCGATAACTTTTTTAGCCATATGGGTTGAGGGTTGAGTTTGATTGATTTTTGTTCTTTTCTCTAGTTTTCCCCTCTCCTCAGAAATCAAAAATTCGAATTTGACCAACAATCTTGTACAAAATGGATGGAAAATTATTTTATACCCCTTCTTCCCCAAAAAATGACACATTTTGGCTTTTATGCGGCTTTATCCGGCTTGATCTAGGGGGATGGGTGTTGCTGTTCCATTTTTATTCTGTCCAAGATTGTGGCCTTTGAACAGGCTCTCTGTTTGACAGAAGGTGGCTAAAACTTGTAAAGGTGACAGCAAGGGGGAAATGGAGGAGCCTAGCTCATATCCAATTATAGTTGCCATGACAACCCATTTGTTTTGCAGTTAACCCAGGATAAGAACTACAGTAACGTTCAAAAGTAAGTTACCACCCACCCTCTTGCAAGACTCAAGTTGTGTCGTGTGCTACGTGACTCTGTTTCACTGAGTTGAACGACTTTGCCCAGATTGGTGTGCACTGACATAACATGCTCACCTACAGAACAACCCTGAGACATTTTGTGATGCCACGACTGGTTTCGCTGCGAAATGGGGTCTGAGATATGTCTGCAGAAATTCCATACCAATGATGTGTCACTACCGGTACCCAGGTCTGGGTTGCTAGTGCTTATGATTCATTGAAGCAAGTTCCCTTGCCGAATTACCTGTCAGAAGCAGTACCCAGATCTGGCTAGTGGCGCGTCATCAGTATGGAATTTCTGCAGACGTCCCAGATGTCATTTCGCAGGGAAACCAGGGATGGTGGAGTTGCAAAATGTTTGCTGTTTTCTCTGGCTTTACTGCTAGCAATTTATGATGTCCAAGACTGCAATGGTGCAAATCCTATTGGCACCCTCCATCACACACAAAACAATCAAGTCATGTGGATAAAACCCCTTCACCTGGTTAACAGCGCCAAGTGAGCAACCTAATGAACAATAATTACATAAATTTTACATGAATTTTATTAAGGTTCTTAGAAGCAGCACATAATTCTATATTTTTGTTGAAAAAGCAGTGTTACAGTTTCAAGTTAGACTTTGGACACCACGATGTAACAATGTCCAGGAGAAGATGATGAATGAAATTATATTACAAATTTTTAATAATTTTATCCACGTGTGTATTTTCCCCAGATGTATTTTCCCCAGCAATGAACAATAAACTCATGAAAAACTGCAAAAAAAAAGAAAGAGACAAATAAACTCATTAATAACCAGAACTGGAACATAACCCCTGTGATATTTCGAAAAAAAAAAAAGTGAAATTTGAGACAATTTTGAAAATAGACAAACATTAAAAATTTTTAATAACCACAAAAGGTTTGCAATTTTCACATGTAGGTATTTCAAATTAAGCTGAAATACCACTGCTCTCAGCCAATCAGATTGCAGAAATTTCTCATGTAGTAGTATATTTATCATTAACATTACTATCACATGTATGTCACTCCATGGAATGGCAAAAACAGAAACTCAATTTGAACCAAAAGTCTTATTTTTTATTTAAACCTTAAAGCCTCTGGTCAAAAGTGACCAGCATCCAATTTTGCCCAATAATAACACTGCCTGATCAAACATACAGGTCATGAGAATGAAGGAAATGATCACCAAAGTGAAGCTTCTTTATGTTTGAACAAATTCTCTCCAGCGGATGTATAAAAACAGTGAGAAGAATATGCATGTTGATATTGGGGCTTAAAGGATCAAGGGCAGCCCATTTGGCTTTTTCAGGAGCAGTACAATGTACCTTTCAAGTTTTCAAGATTTTACCACTGACAAGAGCACCTCAGTGCTAGTTCGGTCTAAAAATACGGGGGGGGGGGGACTCCCCTGGATCTGGATCCGCCACTGACCATGAAGTGTTGAATCTTAACATTTGCAGTAAACATGATTTTAAATCAACTTGTTCAGACCCCTCCCCCATAGAATTTGTAATGAACCTTCCACCCATTCAGGTGATGATGGTGGGGTTATTGAGGGATCTTTTCTCCAACCATGTGACTTTTAACCCTTTAAGCCCTAAGAGTGATCAGCATCAAATTTCTCCTTGTAATATCAATGCTTTGTAAAACAGAGTGGTCATGAGAATTACGGACATGATCACGCAAGATGAATTTGCTTGACATTTTATCAGTTAATGGTAATGAGATAGGAAATGAGTAGGGGCAACAAATGAGAATTCAGATTTTGATCTTAGGGTTTTAAGGGCTAAGAAAGATTACAATTAATTTTATATACCGGTAGTAAGAGTAAAAAGGCTTTCAAAAATAGAAAACCACTTTAAACTCACACTTTAAGTCCAGGTGAGTCTTCAGTGTAAAATCTCCACATTCCACTGCTACTTGCTGCTGTACGAGATCTTGCTGCTGGCGCACTGCTTCCACCCTTCCTGTTAAAACAACAATACACCAAAAAGCAATGGGTTTTTTTTAAGATTCCTTTGTCTTTAATAGAATTTTAATTGAGAAGTGATTGCAAGAAGGATATCTGGTAATCGCTTTCAAAGCTTCTTGGCCTTACAGATGATGCATTCACCTAATGACAGAGTACAAGAGATTGAAAAGACAGTGAAGAATACACACACTGCCACCCAATTGTCAATGACAGAACAACAACAATACTGATACATTTGGTCTCACACAGGCGTCAAAAATTCTTGTTTATAAAACATAAACATGATGCTTAAGAGAAATAAGAGTAACTATTTATCCATCACTGCCGCCTTTTGCCTACACTGTTGTTTTCACAACGCCAAGAAACATCTGTTACGTTACTTTGCTCTACTTCCTTGAAAGACAAATGTTTGGAAATTTTTTCTGGTACAGCAATTACAATAGAGAGCATTCCAACAAGGAGGACATACCATTCGGCATAAAAGGGTTTACTAGAACAGAGGAGAAACTCTTTGACATACCACTGAAAAATTGACAATGAGGGGGCCATACAAAGTGTCCACATCAATGGAGTTTCCATATTAAGCATGTTGAATTCAGAGAAAATACAAAGGCCTTTTTTTTCTCAGGGACAAAACAAACTGACCATAACATTGATGAATACACATTAAGTGAGTGTCTGTATAGCAGAGTTTGACTTTAGACCACAAATTCAGTATATGCCTGACAGTTCATTTGTTGCCAAACATTAACAACTAATGTCATGTGGCTTTGTTTTCCAAACCAAAACAGTGAACTCATCTGGTCACATTCCTCAGCATTTTGCAGGCCAAGACAATTTTCTTTCCTGGAAAGTCAATCAATGAAAGTTCTTTCCATTGCAGCCTTCTAGCACTTTATGACTCCGATTTTTTAAAAATAATGATATTCCTTTATTTACACAAAAAAGTTACAGTTACAATAGTTAAACTAAAAGAAAGGTACAAATATCAACAGTGGATCAAAATACAAGAAAAAGAAGAGTTTTATAACTCTAATGCACAGATCTTAAATCAAATCATTAATTTTACTTCTCGCAAAAATCTCAGAATATCCTGTGTTTTAATTTTGTTACAGTTATGATACATATTAATATTAAGTTATATTAATTGGTAATAGAACTTTGTGTTGTCCAATTCGAACTGTAATTGTACTCGTGATTAAACAAATCGGACTCCCACTACGCGGTCATTTGCTTTTGTTAATCACTGGCATGATTTACCCTTATTAATCAACTTAAATTAACTACAAGTGTGACTTTTTGGTTAGGATTAGCCCCTGGCTACAGTTTTATCCTTTTTTTAATATTAACTTATTTTTACAAATTTATTTCATTTCTTTACTGAAAACTCAGCTGGGAAATAAATAATAGTAACTCCTGCTCAAATACAACATATACAACAAAAAAGGGTAACTTGTGTGCAGTAGGAAAGAGAACAACATGTGAAATAAGACGTACAATTAACTATGAATAAGACAAACACTTCACTTACAAGAATGGGAAAACTACAACGAATGTTGAAGATGTTTTAGAATTCGGGACAGAAATAGAATAGACTTATTTACGAGAAAAACAAAATAATACACAACAGCAACAGAGATTTGACCAGGGCATGAATTCGAAACAAATTTTGGATGGGTCCAAAAATTTGTTGCTTCAAATATCAACAAACCTTTGGTTCAAACACGTCATTGTTCAGACGAAACCTCACGCGAGAAAATTAAGACGAATCCGATAAAAAAAAAAGTGAACAAGCTTGACGATAGAATAAGACGATCCAGACTCTCTTTAAGAAGAAAAACGCGATGAATTTCGTGCGTATCTTTTTCTTACCTTTGCTTGACTTGTGTGCCACCGGATGATCGAGGGGTTACAGACTTGGAGCCCGATCGGCCGGCTCCGACGCTCGTGGAAGAAGCTGATTGTACCTGTAAAGGAATAAGAGAAAGAGGCTTAAAATATCTGTGAAGAAATAGATTTCCCGTTAAAATTTAGGATCTTTTTGTCAGTTACATTTCAAGGTTCTACTCACCATTGTGATGACTCGTCTTTTAGCACACAAAGAGGAAGCAGCCGCGTGACGTCACCAGTGTCCCATGTTCCATTGCAAGACAAGTGCTGTGGGCTTAGCTGTGGGCTCCAGCTCGCCGCAAAAACTTGTTACCAGTCTCTCGCAACTCTCGCAAAGATATTTTAATTTAAATGCTTTTTTTTACTCTCGAAATGTTTTTCTGCACGTTTTGAAGGAATTAAAATTCTATGTCATGCATTTCAACACAGATAAAATTATATTTTACAAACTAACTAGCTCTTCAAATCTTTTGACAGATGTTGACTCAAACTTAGCGGTATTATGTTTTATATTTGCGTTGTTTTTGTTTTATCTCAGCTTGTTTGGAACTTTTGGAAATTCCACTGTTTCTTTTGTTTACTTAAAAAGTTAATTTTGTCAAAAAATCTGACGTGTTATATTGCCTTACAATTTCATCAAGGACTCGGGAAGAAAACCCTGGACCAACTCTACTAAGACAAGACACATGACAATACTTTTTCGCCCTGTGTCGTCCTTGTTACAAACATATCTAAAAAGAAGTCAAATTTATTGAATTATTCATAAATAGTATTATTCTACAGAATTAGAATGGATTTTAAGCGTAAGTGCGGGGTTAAAGTTTTCGTGTCTACGTGTTCGATGCAGGTAAGTGAATATTAGGTATCACTATTTCCATTATAACTTTTGAATTAAATTTGTGCATGCATATATTGTGGGCTCACTTTCGACTAAGGGTATTTTAATACAGTTATTTCTTATTTCGTTATTTATTTATTTCTGTTTTCAAAATTTAAATGGTCAAAGATATATATCTTGCCCTGGAGCTGCACTGGTTCGCCGCGTACAAGCCGGGCTCGCCCATTGGCCAATGTCCAACTTGAAATTCAGTCGTAGCTGGTCGTCGTGACTTTCATACTGAAACATCTTTTCTCTCGCCTGTTTAACTGCAGATAAACATGCCAGCAAATCAAGCAACTCTGAACAGACTTGAAGTCGTTTTGGCTCGACTGGAAACAGTAGCAGTAAAGCTTGGGATCGATAGTCCCGCTAAAAGAGGACATGTCCAAAGCTCCGCGGATATCCTGTCTTTGGTGGAGCGACTAGAAGCCGCGGCAGATAAAATTGAACAGCAGTCTTCAGGTGGCGTAGGTAAATGTATTTCACGTCCGAATATCGTGTAATTTTCAAATTGGAATTTGTAATCTTGTCATGAGTGTAAAAATTGTCGACTAAAAATTTATTTTTCTTGTAAGGGTCTGGAAAAATTGTCGAATTCTACGATGAGGTGGGCGCCGTTTAAAGTTTATTTGATCTATGTCGAGTCTGCTTCTTTGCCAGCTTCATTCATTGATTTATACCAATTACATACTTCACAGATTGTTTTTCTTACTGTTTTTTAGTTCCTTGGAGGGAAGCTAAAAACATTTTTTAAGTTATCAGATGAGTTGGGAGGCGATGTAAAATCTCAGGTACATGAAGAATTCTCTTTTGAATAAGAAGACATTGCGTGACATCATGTTTTACGCTAAATTATAAATATTGTTGATTTCATTTTCCACGTTTAGGTCGACTTGGTCAAGAAACTCTTCCAAGCGCAAAGAGAATTTTTAGGCAAAGCTTCAAGCACAAAAATGCCTCCTAACGTAAGAAAAGTTTTTCTAATATTTTGTGTTAAGATATAAATTTTTATATTTAAGAAATAAACAGAAGCATTAGCACACATGTTAGTGCTTGGATTTTAAATTGTTAATTTTTCTCAGCGACTGCGATTGGCTCTTTTAATCTAAGGACCTGTCACGCGATATCTTAACAGTAGTTTAAAGCCATTTCCGGTTACTTGCTTTAAACTTTTAGCACTATTGATGGAAAAAAAGAAAGAAAGAAAACCGCACAAGCTTTGGTGATCAATGAAAACAGCTAATTGTAAACGCGCGAACGAAACTCGAGCGAAACTGTAGAAGAGCGGTCCTTGCCATCAAAACCTAGAACACAAACTCTTCAATATGGCAAGCTTATTCAAGCCCCGCCAAGTTAAGAGCGGTACATATGTCAGTTTTGTTTGTATTAGTTAACGCTTGATTTCCTTTTCGATATGCGCTCATAGACAGAGCCGGGAGCTTCCATTTTCGCGGAAAATGAGCGTGCCCTAAAATGTATCTAAAGATAAACCGGTCCGTGACAACGCCGTGACTTAGGCCTAGTATGGGAGTTGGTGGTTCAGGGTTATGGGCTCCTGAAAAAAATGAGAATGCTATGAGGATGCAGATATTTTTCTTTCTTTAAGACACTGTTGAACAATGAAAAATAGCCGATCAGGTCTTGGGGATGAGTTAGTGACTTAAGTGAGCGAGTGAAAACAAAAAAAATAGCCTGATAATGACGAGAGTAATAGAATGGTTTCCGCAGTTCATAAGAGCTATAGACTTTGGGGGACACTAATTTCTACTCTAGACGATAACTTCAATATTTCGTTAAACTGCGGTATAATTCACAGGACAAGATTGCAGCAATGATACAGCCCACTGTGCAGCTTAGACAAGAAGTAGAGGTGAGGAAAATTCAAAGTTTCGAAAATTCTTTATGAGTACAACAAGTTTAGTAACTAGACTTGCTAGACTTTTTATCAAGACCGTCCCAATTCTGCATCAAGAAAACCACGAATGAGTGAATCGGAAAGAAGGACTTGTTCGCTTATTTACAAACCTTACGTGATGTAGTCAAGAGCAAGATTATATATCCTCTCTTGGTCAATAGAGAATGCCAGGAGAATGCACACACCAGGCACACACTTAAAAATGGGCTAGCTTGGTGAATTTTTGCCCGGGATCAGTTTAGGTTAAATTGCCTAGCTACCGCCCCCCCCACCCCCTCGCCCCGCCTAATTTAACGTTAACACTTACTTTTCACTTCGGGCGAAATGTTGGCCTAGGGGAGGGGTAGGTGGGCAGTCTCCCAGAAACCTAAGACAACAGCGATTGAAAGGAAGGGGCAACTGAATTTTCGGCCCGTTTTCTCTGCGTTTTCTCAATTCTTGAGCTTGCTAACAGGCTAGAGTTTAGTTGCAACAGATCTAGAGCTTAATCAAACTGAGAAAGAAACTTTTGCTCTTTGACGAATCACTTTTTTTTTAATAAGGCATTCCGTGACAGGAACCGTAAGAGTCAGTTCTTCAATCATTTGAGTGCGGTCAGTGAAGGCACCGAAGCCCTCTTATGGGTTGGAGCGGTAAGAACGAAGTTCAGTTTATATTTCTTTAATTTTCAGATTTTTGTATTTAATGAGGTTATTTCCCGGGGCCTCCCATATGAAAGTGGCGGGGATGCTCGCGGAAATTTTAGATTTATTAAGAGACCAATCTGGGCGTGGCCCAACCTTTTGTGACCTCTAAAAGACACAATTTTAAACGTTGATTACACGATTCGAGTAAATAAAACGTATTGAAAATACATAGTTTTTTATATTTCTTCGCGTGCAACCCTAAAAGAGACCTTTACGGCTAAATAATGGCGTTTTGCCCAGAACACCCTGAGTGAGACCAAAATCCGAAATTTACACCCCTAACTAAGCGAGACGACGACATTCCCGCCCCTTTCATATGGAAGTCCTCCCTGGGGGTTATTTTCAGTTCACTTGAGGAAACGTCAAGAAAACAAATAGACACTTAGAAGCCTTTCACTGACAAATCCCGTCGTCTCCCCCTTCAGAAAGTTAAGAGGACGGTGTTATGCAGTTCCATCTTTCGAGCTTGCATCTCTTTACTTAGCCTACGGCCCGCACCAAAAGTTAATTTCCGTCTGCGTGTTCTTTAAACATCCAGGAACAGACAATCCGCGTCTTTTGTCGCGGATTTGCCGCTCGATTTTAATCGCGCTTTTTCTTGCGAAGAGAGAAACAACCCTACTTTGCATGCTCTGAATCTTTATAAATTTTCCTCACCGGGATTTCTCTCATGTCATGCGCTATTATTTTTTTCTCTTTTTAGCCTGGCAAGCCTGACATTTTTGTAAGAGACAGGAAAGATGGCGCTGTTTTCTTCACTAACCGAGTCCTGAAAGATTTTAAACAGTATGTCACAACACTAGAGCTTATCAGTTATTATAAGAACACTAAAGGCTGTTTTTCACTACCGATGGAGTCGGAGTCGTAAGCGGAGTCGTAAGAACTCCTATGACCTAGTGAAATATATAATCGGAGTCGTAAGCGGAGTACAGTCATAAGCGCAACGGAATCGGAGTCAGACGAATCAGAACGTTTCCATTTCTTTCGACCTCCCCTTATGACTCCGTCGCTTACGTTCCGCTTATGATCTAGTGAAAACTAGATTGTCGGAGTTGGAAGCAGAAGCGGAAAGGATAAACCATCACAATGCACGTTCCCACGCTTCAGAATCGGAACGCTGTTTTCACTAGGTCACAAGGTCTACGATCCTCTACTCTTCTGATTACGACTTCGACTCCGAATCCGACTTCATCGCTATTGAAAATCAACCTTAACTTAGAAAATTCTAAAACACTGCCTGGAATGCGCTTCAAATTTCGCATAGAGGCAAGCACAAACCGCATGTGACTGGTGACGAAGAGCAATGGACAATTGGAAGGAGAAAGACTGGAAAGGCGAAGCCCGTTTTTTCCGTCGGAGACTGAGCACGAGGGCCGAGGGAAAGAAACGTCTTTTTATAATGGCGGCCGCAGTCATTAAAACATCTTAAGTCATTTTTTTTGAGGCCGCCATTATGATTTTTTATTTTGATTTCTTCCCAGAGCCCTTCGGCCAGGAATCCAAAACACGCTGAATGGGCCCGAGAAAGAAACGTCTTTTTCAGTAAAACATCGTCATTTTTTTCTCTTTTTATTTTGATTTTTACAGGAATTGAAATTCGTACATCGCAGCTTTAGTTGAATTGCAGCGGTACTGTAAGGAGTTTCACCCCATTGGCGTATCCTGGGCTGCAGAGTAATAAATTATCATAATCATCATAGATAACCTTGAAGACTAGGACAATAAAAAAACATTACACTTCTATTGCATTTAAAATAGACGGTTAAAGGACACCCTTTTTAGTGCATTGTTGAGAGGGCATATAATCGCGAAAAATCTTTTTCTTATGCCTCATTCCCTCAATAAGAGGACGAGGTTTCTCTTTATTTCGTTTGCGCTTATTCTTATTATTTTAAGAAATTGCGTGTGCTATAGTAACCAGGTCGCGTACATTATAACTCGATGAAGCACGCCCGTTATGTAGGTCACGTTCTTTATGGCAATGCAAACCAATCTAAACGCGAGCATTTCTATGAACATTATATGATATTCTTAAGGCCACGGTACACTTGGAGGCTGTCTTGTTGTTGTTCAGACTACGACACTGCTAAACATGCATTTTATTTCAGTTTAGAACCCAAGGATTTAGCTAAAAAACTGTCCACAATTTGTCTGTTTGTTCATTAAAGTCTTCTTTTCTTTGGTCTGTTCCAAGAGCTATTTACCCAAATGTTACTTCTGTCGTCCCGATATTTCAGACCGAAAGTGCTGAGGTTGGGGCACTCAACGGAAATCTGGGTAGAGACAAGGTGTGCCACCGAGGCCTTCAAACCCAGACCCACCCTTTTTAAGAAAAAAATCGTTCTTTTTGCTACCCTGGATAAGACAAGAGACGTCATTTGATGACCCTTATAGCTCTTGGGCTTATTCATTTCAGGCGCAAAGGAAGTGTAATTTTAAATTTCAGTGAATTATTGTTTTGGAAAAAAACAGTTACTAACCAGTTATTGGATAAAGACCACTCATCGTCAATCCTCACACTATATATCTTAAAGGCTTTCGGTTCAAAAGAGAGTGCTCCCTTCCTCTCCACCCTCCCCATCTCACCCAAGGGCCGGGGGATAACAGGAAAAAACGGAAAACTAGTTGTTGCTGATTGTCTCTCAAGAAATAAGCATTTTTCTTTTGTTAAAAAGAACCCCTCAATATTTTTCAGAAAGTAACGATAAGGAAAACATAATGCGCAAACATATTAGAGAAAAGTGTATTAGAGAAACTGGGCTTTTTTACATCTTGTCCTCATGAACCCACGGCAGGGGGAATTCTCCTAACTCAATATGTCGCTTTGTACTCTTTTTACACCTGGTTGTCAAACCTTTAGGGATGAACGGCCCTGTATCCCCCTTAATTTTTGTTGAAAGATCACGCCCCTGTGTCCTTTATACAAATCAAAAACAATAACAATCGCACTCTGGTGATTACCATAATCGGAGTTCCATTCACAGTCCTCACATTCGAAGTCAATAGGGAGTTTAAGCAGCGACCTTTTTGAACAACGCTCGTCAACCAAAAGTAAGCCTTTTACTTTTTAATATGCCTAGGCACCACTAAATTTGCCTTGCTAAGTGTTTTTTCTCTTAAAAAGACGATTTGCCCCAAATTTGTTCAAAATTACGGCTCAAGAGTGCAAAAATTCAACTTCCGGTTGAAGCGCATCGCCTTGAAAAACGTCGCTGCTTAAGGTTCTCCTTAAAATAAAGACAGAAAATGAAATTTATTCACGTCCCATGCAGGTAGTTTCCAACACCATTTGTTTGTTCATTCTTTGCGCGGTGCCCTCATCCAAATTGCGCGAGGGTGTCACACGTGATGGCGCAATTATTTCGATGGAACCATCCAATTACTGGAAAAGGTCAGAAAGTATCTAGTTGCGTTGTAGCAAACGTAACAGCTATTGGCACACGTACACCAACCCATGGCCTGGCCAGTTTCTAACGCATGCGCAAAGCCATATCACCCGGGCGTTGGCAGACAGCAATCTCGACCCCAGAGCTGTTCTGCGCAAACCCGTAAGCACTGGGGTGGATAATGTGGCAGACACCTGTCTCTCGACCCATAGGCGTCCTTATACCTTATTAGGGATCATGAAAATGTGGAATATCAGCAAGTCCATGGCGACAAACCAATCAGCACGGTATAGCCGTCTGGCCAATGAATCACGGACTCTAGCTCCTGGAATAGGTTCAATAGGCCATTTCCGAGTTCCCCCCGCCTCTGCTTCAAAACGAGGGTAAGTGCTCAGCCTTTGATATGGAAATGATTTTTCATTCTCATGCAAATAAAACTCATTTTTACAAGAAAGGTTGTGCACCTAGCCTCATTTTGAAAGTGAGGGTTTTGGAACTTGGAAGTGGCCTATTCAGTGTTAGTGAAAGACAATCATGAAACGGCAAACTGATCCTTACGGCAAGGCGATGAAGAAGTAAACACAAGAATAAAACAAAAGATACATATTAAAACAAATTTGCCCATTTGTTGAAATATATATTTTTTGTTTTATTCTTTTGTTTTCTTCTTCATCGCCTTGCCGTAAGGATCAGTTTGACGTTTCATGATTTTCAAACAAGTTATTATTGTACTGTCCAGGCCCCTGTTGTTCCAACGTCAGATAGCGCTATCTACCGGATAAAGCACTATCCAGTGGGTAGTGTAATTGATTTCTGTAATACTTTTCCGCTGGATAGTGATTTATCCGGTGGATAGCGCTATCCAACGTTTGAACAACCGAGGCCAGGGGCCCGTTTCTCGAAAGTCCCGGTAACATTTTGGACCCGAAATCAAATTTTCAAATCGAAATACAAAGAATAAGAGCGCGGGTCCTGGCTAGTGAACTGCTCCATTTTGTTTCATTAACTGATAGTTTTATCATGTTAGATGCAAAACTATTGAGACCTCCATCTTGCGTGTAAACAACGACAGCTTTAGCTCGTTACTGTTAGAAGTAATATTTACTATTTATCTCACTCATAAATCGCGAAAGTTCATGAACAAGTAATAGGCATGAAAATGTTTATTTTCCTGACTCCAAACCATTGAGGGTCTCTGTTGAGCGCGCCACGAGTACTCGAGAAACGCGAAACGAGTATTGCCAAAGCCCGCGCGAGAGACGCACGCTACCAATGGAGAGACTGGGTTCTAAACGAAACCAATATGGTGACCGATCATTGACCAGAAAGAACACTTGTGCAGTAAATTGGATCTAAAGTAAAAAAAATAGACTTCTGAAACTCGGATTTGAGCTTCAGCAGTTCTTTTACTTACTCGTCAACACTTAGCTTTATTCATGATCTAAAAAATCTCGCTCGTGGCACGGCAGAAGTCGTGAAAAATCTGGCACGGGTGTTGTGAGGTAAGCTTATGTTTAATATTAGCTATTTCGCAGAAAACGATGGTCTCATAAGCAAGTAATATTGCTGATGGTAATTAAAGGATTAAATCATCAAGTAAATCCATTAGATCTGGTACAAATTAAGGCGAAACATGAAATTTGGGAGGTACAGCATATACGTCAAAGGTCACAGGTCACAAGTGCAGGTCATTGCTCTGTTGATAAATATTATCGGATTTTCATTCCTCACGGAGAGAGTTTATTGTGCTGTCGAACTTTGTAACAGTTGTGAAATTATAAATTGTGCATGGATCGCACAGTGAGGCAGAAACACGAGTCTGCTTTGGAAGGTGGTTGCAGTGATGTCATTGATTGTGATGTTGAGTTGCATTAAGGTTTCCAAGCAACATAACTTCCACTGGGTGTAATGAAACTTCCTCTGTGAAAAAAATGTTTAAAATGTTTACAGCTGGTTAACTGTGACCATTAGACCTTTTCAAGGTTTATGGAGCCATCCAAGTGGGCCAAAGTCCCATACATTCACTGTGATTTTAGCCCTGTTTGCCCCCCAGCCAAGATGGTGTCAGAAACCGTGAAAATGTCTATTCTCCTCAAGCAAATGCGGGGAACTGCAATGTCTACAAGGCCGACAAGAAGAGATTTTGCGGCAGTTTACGAGACACTTATTGGCTGTCGGCCATAGTATATTCTTCAAATGCAATGAAATGAGTTTAAGTAGGGCTTTTACCGTCAAAACCCTGCTTAGTTTCTTTGTATATCTTTCAATCCTTGATAAATACAGCTCCACCAGCTTCAGACAGCATTTACTGGCAGAATTTCATTGGCAAATATAATAATCTGCCTTGCCTAATGAATATTTGGTAGCGTGGTATAGGAGACTAAGAGATTACTTTGCATTTAGTTGGTCCTTGTTCGAATCTTGGCCAAGGTATTTTTTCCTTTTCAGGGCTGAAAATAACGGACAGCAGGTAGCCGGTCATGATGACCGGCCAAATATTTTTTAGCCTGGACAAACCCCGATTCTGGCCGGTCAAATAATGAATACTATAATTTTTTGCCAGGAATATCGAATTACGCTGGCAATAGATCGTTTTTACTACATTGACGTTCACATTTTTGACAGCTAGTTTGTGAAAAATGCATTCACTCGTTGTAGAGTTGTTTCCGCGGTTTTCGTGTGTTTTAATGTCTTGAGTATCATCATACAGCGGTGTCTGAAGTCTCTAAAGGTAAAAAGTGAAGCGTAAATCCTTTTCAAACTCTCAAGGTTCAGGAAATGAAATACACATACAGTTCATCAAACTTAAGGAATTATGAAAAAAAAAATGGTTATTAAAGAACGAAATGTGCACAAATTTGTTTTACGTCGACGTTCCGAAATGAACATCGGTGAAACTTATCTTTTTCCTTGCCTGGCACGTGATCGGAGGTCTCCTCCACAAAGAAGAATCGTCGCTAATATTTTCGGCAAAGAAGTTGATTTGCATTGGCGAAAAGTCTGTTCCACAAACAGCGTGTTTATTATCAGAAGTCAAAAAATATACAGTAGAGCTTTCATTCAGGTCATCGCGCAACACTTTATCGCAAAGGGTTCAAATTAAGCGCTGAGGTAGACGACATTCCTTCTCGATTAGCTTAAATTTTTATCAGACTATTCTGGAATCGAGTCCGCAAACGAGATTCATGTTCGACATAAAGAAATTATTATTAATTGATGTGCTAACATTTATTCCCGGAGAAACACAGGACGACCCGTTGAGAATTGCGATCGATTTGCCCGAATTCGGTGGAATTCCCAAAGCAGGTCACATTACTGATTACAGCAAAACAGAAAGTGCAGGTGTAACGTACAACCAGCAACGTTGCGTTATTTACTCCACTACTCAGTTTCTTATTGTTTTGCTTTGTTGCGTTTCATTATGACATGAAATTAATTTATTGGGGTGTTCTTTTTCTTAGAAGGGTTTAGTGCAAAGCAGCAAAAAATGCCAAAGAAAAAAGAAATCAATACAGCGTTATAGAGCATTAAGGGACAACTATATGGAAAATAAAATGTTCGTCTCCAAAAATGACTGGCCAAAATGGCCGACAAGATGAGAGTTTGATCGGTCAAGTCTGCGATCAGGCCGGACATTGTCCGTTGACCGGCCGTTATTTGCAACCCTGCTTTTTTTTGTTTTTTTTTTTAAACCACATTTTCTTACGTATTAGCTTGTTTTCCTTCATTCCTACTGCTGCCCCTTAACAGCTTCACAAGGTG